AAGTACTCTACTACCAACCTACTAGGCTACACTTGCAGCTTGACTAAAGTAGGACTCCTCTACCCTCTCACTATACAAGTCTACAAGTCTTACCCTCTATACTCTATTCTGTTACTATTCCTAAGGATTAGGACTAGTAAAGTGAGTATATCTTACAAACATGTAGGACATAATAGCAAACGAATAACTAAGTAAACAAAATAATATTCAGACATATAACTGGGAAATAATCTAGGCAAGCTAAGAAATGGCACATATTCCTAAAGTGATCTACACTAGACACACAAAGCACTTGCTAAAATTAAAAGAAGTAATGGATGTAACAGTAATCAAAACATTAATCCTTTCAAATAAAACAAGATAATGTTAATCATAATGAACAAAAATGAGCAATACACTCAAAATAAATGAAATAAATTCATATTTCATAACAAATGCACACATATATTCAGCAAATAAAGCAAATATAATAATTAAAACAATACCAAACAGAATTTGATACAAAATAAATGATAAATGAACAAATATTACAATATACAATGAAAAATAGAACTGCAAAACACACTATTTCATCTATCTACAAAATAAAAACAATGAACACATACTATAATTGTACAAAGCATTACACTGATTAAACAAAGTAATAGCTATACTATTGGGATTACAATTGCAAGAATCCACAATTAGCATTACTATTGAAATGAACAATACAGACACACATATAACAAGAACCTATGTGATTTACCTAATAACAATACATCATACTGTAAAGGTTGTTCTGGATGTGTTAAAATACATACAAGCAGACAATACATTCATGATATATGATATAATGCACCAAGTCACATAGCAGAATGTGCAGCCAGATATAAAAAGAAAACAAATAAAAATACCTCTTTAACCTCAGCATAAAGCAATCTGGCAATTATAGACTAGGAATCTATATTACAAAATTCAGACAATGTGATGCCTCAATCTGACAGCATAAAATCAGTTTATTACTGAGTGTACATAACATATACAGTAATATACAGATGTGGACAGTAATGATGAATGAAGGACATCATATACATTACATATAAACTTCATTAGCATGAATTAATTCACCAAAAGTACAAACAAATACTTTATTGGTACAAACTACTTTGCCAAAAGTTAAAATAAAACAGAATTCCATGATATTAAAGTAATACTATACTAGTAACAAACAATACAGTCAATGTGATCAAATAAACATATCATCCAATTGAATAGTAAACAATACTATTGGATAGATAAATGTTACAATCAAATAAAGATCAATTAACTATTGAATAACATGGCCAAACAAAAACAATAGATCTCTTAATATTAAAGAAAGAAACAAACGAACCATTGTGATAACTATTGTTATACACACATATATACAAATACAAAACGGCTGAAGAGATTCTACAGGTCTCTAAAGTGTTAATAGACAATTTGCAATGTATTCATTGATACATAAAACGATTTATTACAGAAACACTATTGTTATTGAACAATACAATACAGACAAACTTTGAAACAACTTCGAATATATTTAATAACATCAAATAAACTTATTAAATAATGTTGGACGAATGTAACACACAGTGGACTTACAGACGAAACATCTACATGATGTAATTATCATTATAAACATTACATCTATGCATAACACGTATGTGAACAAAAGAATAGATGAACGAACAGACGAATAAAGTAAACAATAATGATAATATACAATTGACAGTACATACTGCAAATCAAACATCTTATAGAATATCTATTAAGAGTTTGAAGGGGAGTGTTAACATTAGCAATCAGCATGCTCATAATGTCTCGGATAGCATACATATATGCTGTCATAAGTATGTCATTACAACAGAACATACTGAATTGAGACATGCATCCAAAACATAGATATCATTAGTATAAATAGTACTCTAATTAACAGACAATGAAGCTAAACAAACAAAGAGCAGAGTCCACTACACCCCTTGTTGTGTGATTCCCCTCTAAGATGCCTTAGGATTTAGGCAGGCTAACAGTATGTCTCAGATGTAGGATGTATGATGGAAGGTATTCCATCATTGTTTGTCATTGCTTGTAATGTAGTTTATATCATCTGAGACATACACTCATGTAGTCTTGTCTTAACACATGGACAACACTAAAACAAGTGTACATGATATTGCAAGTCTTTTCTCTACCAACAAGCTGTCAAACAGTAACACTGAGCTTGAGGAGTACTTCTCTATGAAGCAGGAACAGTTATGGACAGACTATGACCCTGTCAAATGGTGGGCTGGCCAATGTGCTCAGTTTCCTTTACTATCACTATTTGCTCAGGATATACATTGTATTCCAGGTATGTTGTTCTTTGTATCATTTTCAAATAATATTCAGGTCTGTTTTACAGGTTCTTCTGTTACTGTTGAATGGATCTTCTCATCTGGACAAGATACTATTACTTTTTGTTGTTCAAGCCTTTGCCCTAGAACTATTAGGGACTTGATGATAGTAAAGCATACTTTGAAGGCAGTGAACAAGTCTATTTAGTTATATTCAATATCTATAGTAACTATGCTACCTATATACCTTCTTTGTAAGTGTATACACTGTATACACTGTATATGCTACTAGCATATTGTATAGCTCCCCCAGACTCTACATTTACACATGTAAGTGTATATGCTACACACAGAGCACTACTTATATAGTCTTTATATACATTAATATGTCTTACTTAAACATTGTAATTCAATTACAAGCTTTACAATTACTTTATAATGTATAAACAATACATATGTTACTTCACAAAGTCTATAAGAAATTACAAGAAATGTGACTTTTTCCTGATACATACATGCAGAACCCTAATGCTCATACTAAACACTTACTTACTTTTTTTGTACCATTAGTACTATATTACATGTTTTCACCACAACTAATGGGCAAAGAAAGCCCTATCTCTACCAAAAAAGCAATAACATATTAAATAATAAATAGAATAGGGACTCCAGGAGAGGGTTGTAAGGTAAGCATCTGATTCTTTAGGATTTGTCTACACAATCTCTGATTGTGCACACGAGTCATGACACTGCTACTGTCACCGCTGACACCATTCAACAACCCAGAAAGCTCTACAGAATATTCTAACCTATAGTGCCATAACAGCCAGTTTTCCGCCTAGGGCACAGACTTTCTCAAAGCCATCCTCTGCATGCCCTCATGAGCTAGATACATATAGACCCCTTTTACAGCGCTCCTTCGTCATGAAGGGCACTGGGTAAATGGTTCGGCTATCTGTATTTTCAAGCTAAACGATTGCGGACCGAGACCCGGTAGAGTATTTAAGGCAAGTAAACATGAGTGGCAACGTATTGCGGATTTCGCATGGTACGGCTTCCCGTGCTGTTGTCCATCCCGTTCTGTCTAAGCCTGAATCGGATAATTCCTATCACATCCTAACAAGGTAACTGGCCAGCGGATGAACTAGGTATATGGAACTTTCTCTTAGTGGGTATCTTGAGAAGACCATCGATATTGCGATCATTTAGAAGCAAAGCTCATGTTCATCTGGCGCTTCCCCAAGCCCGTCCGCAGCTTATCTTTCTTCGTTCGACTACCGGAGCTCATTTTTATTCACGCATGCCGTCGTGTGCGTGTTGTATTATATCAAAGTACGTTTGCAATTACGCAATTTTTGCAGAAACGTAGCCAGTTCTTACAGGATCGCGTAGAATCGAGCAAATTTTTTGCATTTTCAAGTGACATGAATGCCTTTTCCCCCTCTGGTCCTCTGACCCGAATGGCCGCAAAACGATAGACTGCCCTATAATGTCTTCCTGAGCACCTCAGCTAGGTCAACTATTGACTTAAGTTCCGGACTCGCTCTTCGACACGAGTTCCGTGCCGTCTAATGCCGTGTTCTTCTGAGTGCATCTAGTCCTAACACCAATCTGCGACTTGCACATTCTTTCCGGATTCCGGGGTGGGGTAGTCCCCATCTTGCTCTTCTGTACAACCTGGCTTGGATGGAACAATAGGTTTTCCAGAAGGACTTGCCCTGGGCCGGCGGAACTTCGGAGTATTGATCTAAGACTGGGTTTGTCAGTTTATACATAATAGTATATATGCAACCGTCGTTCATCTCCCCTTCAGCTTTTTGTACCCCGTACTGGTCTTCTGTGACTGTCTTATCCCTTTCAGTCATGGCTGACAAGTTCGTCTCCTTCGCCGACGTCGACATCGAGATGAAAGGAACGAAGCATGAGGAGGAACCATCCGTCTCTGTCATCTCTGCAGTCAACACGCCGGCCACCTCTGGGTTCACTACGCCAATGGGAATGCGGACACCGGAGGATGAACTTGAGATCTACGAGTTGCCAATCATTCCTGCGGGTAATTTTACTACTGCACCTCCTGGGGCGGATAGTACTACTTCGAACTTTCTTGAGGATACCAAGAAACAGCGTCGCATGGAGCTCATGAGTTTTTGTGCGCTTCTGTGGGCAATTTTTATGGAAGGGTGGAACGACGGGTCTAATGGCCCGATGCTTCCTGCTATGCAGAGTCACTACCATGTAAGCTGCTTCTGCTCTTTCTTCAGAACGTGATATAAGTATTGAGAATGTACACCGCAGATTGGTTATACTGTCGTCTCAACGATCTTCGTGTTGAACTGTGTCGTGAGCACCTTCACGGTGTTAACGCTCAATTAACGCCTTACGCGACATACTTATCCTTAGGGATTTGTCTCTGGTGCAGTCGCGAACATCAAGTTGGTCCAAAAGATCGGGTTTGGAGCTGTAATAAGATCTCGTTTGTTGAAACGTGGAGACATAGGCTAAAGGAAATTCTTATAGACACTAGCCATCGGGGCTAGCTGTCAAGCAGTGGCTTACGCCATTCAAGCACCCGCCCCACCGTTCCCTCTCTTTGCCATTGCCTACATTTTCTCGGGCTTTGGGATTTCCTTGCAGGTAGGCACTCTGAGCTTCTTCACGAAGTTACTTCCTCACTTTGTTGCAGAATGCTGGTGCCATCGTGTTCGTAATCAATCTAAAGAATAGTTCGGCCAAGATGGGAGTCTTGCAGGCGATTTATGGATTAGGAGCGCTTGTTTCTCCTTTAGTAGCAACAAAGTTCTCTTCTATGCCGCACTGGTCATATCATTACTTTGTATCATTGAGCGGAGCCATCGTCAACATTGTTGTATTATGCCTTGTATTCCGCTTCCAACATATGGACAGTTCGTTTTGTCATTTGGCCTTGTGTATGTTCTGGTTTTGCTGACACTACTTTTTAGCGATCCTTCGCAAGTCAGGCCAGGTCGTCCGCGACTCCACCAGCTCACCAAAGGGAGGATTATATGGCCAAATTTTCAAATTGAAAGTGGTCCATCTTCTCGCGTTCTTTGCTCTCGTCTATGTAGGAGCGGAAGTCACTCTTGGCGGGTGGATTGTTACCTTTGTCATGGACAAGCGTCATGGAGGTACTTCTTCTGGATACCTGTCGTCTGGATTTTTCGCTGGTTTGTCCGTTGGACGTCTGGCCCTTCTCTGGTTCAACAAACTGGTGTGTCATCTCCTTCATAACTCTTGCTGTAGATCTAAACATGGCTCTTAGATAGGTGAACGGCGTGTAATTTACGTCTACGTCTCCCTCTGCATTGCGTAAGGACGAGAACCATCTTGTCAAATCTTATTGTTAATCATGGCATAGACTCGAAATAACAATTTGGTGCGTCCCATCGCTCATCGGGAATGCGATCGCCGTAGCCTTCATTGGCTTCCTACTCGGACCAATCTACCCTATTATTACGAACGTCGCTGGCCGACTTGTCCCGCATTGGTTGCTCAACGGTGCGGTAGGTTGGATAGGTGGTTTTGGACAGATGGGATCCGCGTTGCTCCCGTTCATTACTGGTGCACTGTCATCAAGGTTTGGTGTTATGAGCTTGCAACCACTGTGCGTAAGACCTTTCTTCCGTGCAACTGCTGAGAGAATTTTGACTAACTCGATTTTTAATTATCCTGTAGGATTGTAACAGCAATGAGTGCGATGATGGTACTTTGGGCGGCAGTCCCACCCGATGTCCGTCGTTCGGAGTAAAAAAGTCAACTAATCGTCATCCCAAGGTTATTTGGCTTTCTGGACCTGCGTATCATGTTTTTGGAACAAGAAATTCTCGTAAAAAGCTCCTATTAGCTCGACGTTTTCCGACAAGATGTATCATTTCCTCTCCGATTTGCCGTATGCAAGTGTTTCATCAACCCTTCGATTTTTAGAGCGAAGAGCCGAATATGCTGGCTGTCTATTTCTCACTCAGGACCTTACAGGGGTGGATCATAATTCGATGCTTTTGAAAATGATACTTCCTTCAAAATGCCTCCAGACAAGGTCGTCTCTGTCCTTTCCAGATTCATCTCCACTTTGTAGAGGAGCAGGCATAAGAGGGTATTCGCAGTTGTTTGGGATGTCAAGTTGAGTCTAAAGGAGAGTAAAGATGGTTTAGACAGGTGAACAGCAAGCATCACGAAAAAGTAAAAGCCAAACCTGTGTATATCGGTGCTTAATTCGTACTCTTCGGCTATTCTATGTTCATTTTGTAGCACTCTATAATAATGTAGTTCAATAAGGAGTGGAAAATGTGGTTCCCGGTACTATTGAGTTGTTTTAGAAGAGCATATTGCAAAAGCATCCTTGGGACAAGAATAGTGGCGAGAAAACATAGAAATGTGATATTCGGTAACTCGGTCCGCCAACCTTACTGTCACTTACATACTCCAAGATTTGTCAAAGAGTCTGGGTCCGAGTCAGAGCGGAAACACAAAATTGTTGTGTCAAACGCATCAAAAGTCTAATGACCATATTGAGAATTTTAATTACTCTTCTAAATTTAATACTACTATATGTGGAAGTACTAATTATATAATTTGAAAAAGAGAAAGACTTGCGTCGTCTGACGTCTCGACCCGAAGTCCGAAACTCTCAGCATGCCTTTTACCGTCACCTCTTGCAGTTACCGTGCATTCCGTTTGTGGGCTAGCCTTCATTCATTCATTCATTCAGTTTTCTGGCTGCGACAAATCTCACGTACCATGCTTACGGCGCAATAGATGGCGATGACTCACTAAATCGCCTAGGACCGATCAGGACGCTGGTTCTAATTTGCTCACAGCAAATATTACTATCCCGAGAAACTAGAATGCAACACAAAGTATTAATGATGACAGCGCTCAGGGGACTACTGTGCTTCGATTAATTCAAATCCAAGTACTACAGCGGTAGACTATCTGGTTCAGTTCATATCTATTTCATCTACAGCAAATCAGATCAACCGTGTCTGCACACTCAGTGTACAGTTGTCATCTGTATGACTAAAGCTTGTCAGAAGTTGCTTGAAACTACTGTCTACGCAAAAATCGGACTGTGTAAAATTTGTTGGACACTCTCTGTCGGGTAAACTTTCTATTGAATTTAGCCAAACCTTGTAGGGTGTACCCCTTGGTTCCCAGAACCATGCTAGCACTCGGTGTAGCAGAGGCAACACGTGTTCGTTGGCGCTTTCTCCACATAGTCCTCATCCTGATGAACCCCACATACCTTTCGTTGCTCGCTTGCCAAGAATGTACATACTGACAGTAAGGCATTATGGATTCGTCAAGGACAGTCTGGTAATCCTTCCTCCTTCCTTTCCCCGTGAAAAATTTAACGCCACTTTCTTCTCTGGGTAGTTTATATTACGGTTTGAGTGTTCTGGTCCAGCTGAACCGGTATCTGTCAAAGCATATCTTGAAGTTCCGGAAAGGAAGATCCGTGCCGTCGAGCATGGTCTTCTGTGTACGTCAAATCCCTACATCGATTCGGCGATGCGCATATTCATTTTGGTCTCGAACTTCACAGACTCCGATCTTGGATTTCAGTACATTCGGATGGAATGAAAGTTAACTCTTTAGGTATGTGTCGGACCGAGGCTTTCTTACTTCTACTTGTCTGCTATAAGAGAGTTCTCCCTATACTTCTCCACCTTTCAACGAACTCATCGTCACTTATACTTCTAGTTGCACCTCTGCAATTGCCACTGTCTAGCCTCCAATGGCGGAAAACTTTGTCTCCTTCGCTGACATCGACATCGAGAAGAAGGGAAAGGATGATTTCGAAGAGCCGACCGTTTCTGTCTTGTCTGCATCGACGACTCCAGTTACTTCTGGATTCACTACACCGGTCGGGATGTTGACACCCAAAGACGAGCCTGAAATTTTCGAGCTCCCAGTTGTCTCAGAAGGAGTCCCCACTCCTGCGTCTTCTATTATACAGACTCCGACACTGGTCCCCGATGATTCGAAGAAGCAACGTCGAACGGAAATCATATGCTATTGCACTCTTCTGTGGGAACATTTCATGGAAGGATGGAATGACGGTTCTGTTGGTCCATTACTTCCGTCTATGCAGAACCACTATCATGTCAGTTCCTTGCAACTTTCAAGTCACTTGACATGTCATTCCTCTTTCTAACCATCTCAACCTTGAAGGTCGGTTACACCATAGTCTCCATGATTTTCGTACTCAATTGCATCGTAAGTATTTCAGCTGCAATGTTATTAGTTCGCGAACACTTCACGAGACATACCGGTCAGGGGTTCCTTTCAGGAGCCATTGCAAATATTAGACTTGTCCAAAAACTCGGGTTTGGAACGGTAATAAAATATTTGCTCGATGATACCTTGAGCTGACATTCGTCTCACAGACGTTGATAGTCGGTGCGGTCTCTCATGCCATTGCATATTGCATCCAGGCCCCGACTCCGCCTTTCCCTGTCTTTGCTTTTGCATACATATTCTCCGGATTCGGAATTGCCCTGCAAGTAAGATATGCCCAAATTCTTACGAGTTGTGATCCCACTGATGTTTGTCGCAGAATGCCAATGCCACGGTTTTTGTTATAAATCTTAGGAACAGCTCGGCGAAGATAGGAATTCTGCAGGCTGCCTACGGGTTGGGTGCTCTCGTCTCCCCTTTGGTTGCGACAAAGTTCTCTTCGATGCCTCACTGGTCCTATCATTACTTCGTATCGCTAGGTGGGTCTGTCATCAATCTAATTGCGTTATGCCTTGTCTTCCGCTTCCAGCACATGGACGGTTCGTTCCTTACGTCATGTTATGCACGCTTTTGACTAATTGTCATGACTAGTGGTGCTCCGAAAGGCCGGTCAAATCGTCGTAGATCATGGTAGTGCATCAAGACGAGGCTTGTATGGCCAGGTGTTCCGGTTGAAAGTCGTCCATCTGCTCGCATTTTTCGCGCTTGTCTACGTCGGAATCGAAGTCACTATTGGCGGCTGGATTGTAACTTTCGTACTAGACGAGCGGAATGGCGGCGCGTCATCCGGTTACCTATCATTCGGATTCTTTGCTGGGCTGACCACTGGTCGTCTGGCTCTTCACTGGTTTAGCCGAGTGGTAAGGTTATAATTCCAAGATAAGATTAAAATAGCTAAAGAACGGACTCAGGTCGGCGATCGGCGAGTTGTATATCTGTACACGGTTCTCTGTATTGCGTGAGTTTGCACAACTATATCGTAATACGTGCTAACTGTTTTCATAAGACTCGAAATTACTATTTGGTGTATCCCATCTCTAATTGGAAACGCCATCGCCGTTGCTTTGATTGGATTCTTGCTCGGTCCGATCTATCCCATCATCACCAATGTCGCTGGCAGACTCGTTCCGCACTGGCTACTTAACGGAGCAGTCGGTTGGATTGGTGGTCTCGGACAAATGGGCTCTGCCCTCCTCCCATTCGTAACAGGTGCACTGTCCTCAAAATTCGGCGTAATGAGCTTGCAACCTCTGTGAGTACCAAATTCCTATATGCTGACTCCGGAATTAATTTTGGAAATAATTGTAGGATCTTGAGCGCTTTATGCTCAATGTTGATTCTTTGGGCCGCAGTCCCTCCTGATGTCCGGCGTTCAGAGTAATCCGCCACAAAAAGTGCCTTTGCAAAGCCTTAGAATGGTCCTTGTTGGATCACCGATTGTATTGGCCTCTTTATCTCAAGGTTGTTAAATTTTTGTCGTGTCCTTTTATTTTATGTAAGCCGACGGGTCAATTCTCAGTTTTAATAGAACTTTTATTCCCTCGAATATGGAATTTTTCTTTACGTAACCATGATGATCATGACATTTTCTTTCTAAAGTAGGTAAACGTGTACATAGTCATGAAAAAATGAACGGATGCTTTCTTTGTAGTTGCCGGCATTCACGTAAAGCGCATCACTCTAGGCAGCGCATATTTGAATCGGTATGTGTACTCGCTCGGGCACAGGATCTCCATCGCATACGCCTCCCAACCTTACATCTCGAGTATTCAAGAGTCCCTCGTACACGAGGCCTGACCTTGGCGGTAATAAGTGATGCGCCATGCGTGCTATGTGGCGCCAGGTGGTAGTTAAACACCATATGTTAGGCTTGCTGAGGAAAACCAATCCAGCGAACATGAATTGCGAGCCTAAGAGGTCGACAGTGTGCAGATGTGTATGACCCCTCTTTGCACCACGAGTCACGTAGCTGGTCATTTGTTTAACGATGCTTGTCCTAGTATATTCGTGATCAGTATCAAATAATACCATCTGTTGCCAATGTGAAAAGACGTCCAAGGTCGGGGCAGCGGCTGGTAAATTCCCTGTGCGACGAAAGTACGCTAGAGCAATTGCCAGTTTCATATGTAGGTCGGCAGAATCCCAAATAACACGGGAAACTGGTTGTTGTAAACACGTACTCATTGCTGAACGGAAGCAACGCATGGTGATAAATTGGTATTCTGGTCGTGGTACAATGGTGATCGTCCAGTTGTACTGGGGATTGAGGACGAGAATCATCTTCTCTTGCCCTGGAGAAAACGGAGAGCTTTCCATTTCCTCTTCTGACATTGGCCGTTTATAAGTCCATGTATCAGGATCGGTGAGATCCCAATACAGATTAGGGACGTGAGTTTCGACAAATCGACCCAACGCGTGATGGATCATGGGTAGTTCAGCGTCGTTGGCTGGGGCTGAAGTAATTATGGCTGGTAGATTCGGCTCAATCCCTGTAAAATTATTAGAAGTTAACTACGATTTCGGTTTACTTGCGTATGAGGACAACTTACGCGCTTTAGAGAGCTTGAGTCTACACGCGAGTCTCTGGTCTCCACATTGCCTCGCTTGGTGAACACGTTTAGCGTCGTTGACCTTTTGAAGCGTGGTGTTGGTCATTTTAACGAGGGTTGAGGCGATGGGTTGAAGGTGTTTGTCAAAAAGATGGAGAACTGGGTCATCAGTCTCCCTTCTTGCATTTTTATAACATCAGAAACAACGCCCAGCCACGAAACCATATTGCAGGCCACACTATCTTATCGCTAACCAGTGCACCAATAAAGAGACAAGGATGGAGGTCAAAGGGAACAAGATCGAGATGAGTAAAGAATCGAAGATTGAGAAATGCATACATGGACAAAGGGCAAGCCACGATATGTGGAAGCAGAGAAAGATGGATTTGTGGCCAGCCACTTCGCTTAAAGTTTAATGAAATACACGTGACTTGTTTATTACGTAACACAGTATGGATCGCCATTCTAATTATGGAAATTTTATCTCACAAGTTTTCTGAAATCTGAGTGTGGGCGTGTCTACGCTCACCACCGACAACGACAATGGCGACTCACGTTCTTTTCGAGTCTGCTTCCGGCTATGCCGTCTTCGAGGTCAAGCAGCATGAAGATATTGGTGCGAAGACGAAGGCTGTGCAAGAATCCATTGGCGATGTCGCGAAGTTTGGAAAAATGGTCAACCTGCTGAGCTTTTCGCCGTTCAAAACTGCCGCTCACGCGCTAGAGAATGCGAACGACATTTCGGAGGGTATGATCATTACCTCTAGACTTTTATTGGAAGATATCTCATCTATTTTATTCAGGTATACTCAGCGAGCACCTCAAATCTCTCTTAGAGCTAGTCCTATCGAAGGCGGCAAAAAAGTCGTCTGTCAAGCTTGGAGTATCTGAAGCTGGTCTTGGGTCATCAATTAAAGCAGCCCTTGGGATCGATTGTGATGCATCGGAACGTTCACAGGAGCTTACTCGCGGTATTCGTCTGCATGCGCCAAAACTCCTGAAGGGTATGCAAGCCGACGACTTAACGAAAGCACAACTCGGTCTCGGTCACTCATACTCGCGGGCAAAGGTCAAATTCAATGTTAACCGGATGGACAACATGATCATTCAGGCCATTGCCCTCCTCGACCAACTCGATAAGGATGTAAACTTGTTTGCAATGCGCGTACGGGAATGGTACGGTTACCACTTTCCGGAGCTCGTCAAACTTGTGCCCGATAATTATCAATACGCTTGTGCAGTTCTTCTTATTGGCGATAAGGAGAAACTTGATGAAGCTAAGTTACCCGATCTCGTAACGTTATTAGACGACGATTCCACTCGAGCACAGAACGTACTTGATGCCGCACGCGGCTCAATGGGTGCTTCGTTATCCGAAATCGATATGATAAACATTTCAGCATTCGCGAACCGGGTCGTCTCTCTCGCCGACTATCGAAAATCATTAACTGGCTATTTGACGGAGAAGATGAACCTCGTCGCTCCAAGTCTTACCGCATTATTGGGAGAACGGATCGGTGCACGACTAATAAGTCATGCGGGAAGTTTGACGAACCTAAGCAAATACCCTGCCAGTACCGTACAGATTCTGGGTGCGGAAAAGGCACTTTTCCGAGCATTAAAGACAAAAGGCAACACTCCAAAGGTGTGCTATGGTTATGCTCGTACATCACAATAGGATGTATGCTAATAGCAATGTTATTAGTACGGGCTACTCTATCATTCCTCCTTCATTGGTCGTGCTGGACCCAAGCACAAGGGTCGTATTTCCCGCTTTCTCGCAAACAAAACTTCGATAGCGTCTCGAATAGACTGCTTTGCAGGTACAACTTCATTTCCTCTCACCGAATTCCTATGACTCATATGGCCTGTAGACAATCCAACCGCCAAGTTCGGCGATGCCCTCCGAGCGCAAGTCGAAGAGCGTTTAGCATTCTTCGAAAAAGGAGAGCCTCCGTCGAAGAACGCAGACGTCATGCGAAAAGTCCTCGCGTCCATACGAATTGATGACGACGAATCGGACGCGGAGATGCACGACGTAGAAACTATTCCCCTTCCGTTGATCGAACCGTCGCCAGGGAAGGAAAAGAAAAAGGCGAAGAAAGAGAGTGCCGAGAACGAGGAGAAACAAAAGAAGAAAAAGGAGAAGAAGAAACGAAAGGCAGACGAGATGGAGGTGGACGAAGAACCAGAGGTCGTGGAAGAACAGGCGATAAAGAAGGTGAAATTATCGAAAGAAGAGAAGAAAGCACTGAAGAAAGCAAAGAAAGAAGCTGCAAAGAAGGAGGCAGAAAAGGTCAGATAAACTACTATGCTATTTTGCTCATACTGACGATTTCTTACGCAGAACGGAAAGGTCGAAGAAAAAAAGGAGAAAAAAGAGAAGAAAAAAGAGAAAAAGAAGAATAGGCCTGTTGGTAGCGACAGTGAATAATCGCCTTGCCTCTTTTCTCTGTTTCTTCCTTCGTTTCGCGTCTATTTTATTTCTTCTCTTTGTTCAACCTTGTTCTTTGCAATATTTTTTGGCTTTCTGTATCGCTTAGCTCAATGTCCACAACATGGATCATTATTTCTGAACGGAGGGATTAACTTCCGTATAAGCGTTCTATGCTTGCAATGAATTCGAGCGGATTCCGTATTCATCGCGACTTTGCTCTATTTCATCACTGCGCGAAACCCAGTCAGGAGCACCTACCTAAGCTCCACAGGACAGGAATTGACTCTGTATCTTACGACACAATGACCGGACTTTGATTGCCGTCCGTAAGGCAGTTCCAAAAACCAAACTAAGCATCAAGGTGACATTACAGCACCTGTCACCAATTGTGCTTCCTATAAAAAAATCCGAGTCTCAATCCGGCGCGTAAAATTACTGTCTTCAATAGTTTTATTCCGGACATATTACACTACTACATTTGATGATAGCAACAAAAGGACATGTCCCCAGATAAAGACAACTATCTCTATCATAAAAGTCTAAAGACCATTTGACGTGAGCAATCCAAGTACAAACAATCATAACTGAGGGATGATGCCAAAGGATGGGAGCGAGCAAGAGTGTATGATGCATAAAGGAGTACATGGAGCAACGATGTGTGATGCGTACAGTGATTAAAGGGTCCTTGTATCGAATAGAATATGAGCGCCGAGATGAGAATGAGACGACGATGTTCCAACGACGAAAGCAATTCGAGAATGATACAAAGAGAGATTAGAAAGGAACGCGAGAACAAAACCGACAGCAAATAAGTTAAAACCATCATTGCGTGAAAGCGGCTCCACACGCTTTTTCACCAGCTCTCCACTCTTCCTCTTCAACGTGTCCGATAGTACGACAAATAGGACATGATACTTCGACAACACCGTCTTCGCCACGTCCATCCCATCCCGCAACACGACCTGCATCAACAAGGCAGGCCGGATGGAAGCGGTGCGCGCATAGAGGTTCATTGTTCGCAGAGCCATCGCGTCGGACGGCAAGTTTCTCCAACATGTCTTCCGGCCAATGAGGCAACGGATCATCATCCGTCGGAGCAAGACTACAACTAACTTCATCACAACGCAATCCCGCTTCGCGTTCACGCTTCTCAATGCGTTCACGCAGTGTAAGACCTGGAGGAGGAGGAACCGTCCATTCCTTCCGTTCGCGCGGTCGTGCAGGTGCTGAATGCCGCCGCTCAGCGCCTCTCGGACCTGTAGCTCCTTGGCCTGCATTGCCGGTAGTCCCTTGGGCACCGAAGGGCATGGGAAAGTGCGGTTGAGTGAATATTTCAAAGAAGGTAACGCCGGTCCCCATGCCCTGTCTACCTGCACCGGTATCTTGCCGATTTCCATCAGCAGAGGTAGCTCCTGCGGCGCCAGATGCATTAGCAGGAGTTGCGGTAGGAACAGTGCCCGCACTTCCGTTGGCTTGCCCGGTAGGCTGACCATCGCGTTGTTCAAAGGCAGGACCATTAGGCCCATGCGCAACGAAGAAGTCTACATCTACGGTAGTCAATTCACCTGCATCAAGGTCAAACATTCCATGGGTCATACCAAACTGCCATGTGCCACGTTGCTCCCCTTCCTGGCCCTGTTGCGACTCCTGACGTTGACCTTCTGGACGTTCGTGCTCATTAGGAATCCGAAAATGCAAGACACCAGATTGCAAGTTCGGAGCTGGTGCTCCTTCATGCTGCACTGCTGGTTGACCTTGCGGATGTTCGGGTTGCTGTGGCTGCAGCTGCCCTCGCTGCATAGTCGCCAATGCTTCTTGTAGATGAGCATGAAGACGGGCAACGTCTGGAAAGTTATTAGGTCGTGACTCTGCTCCCTGTTGCGGCTGAGGTTGAGGCTGAGGTCGATGCTGCCCGTCAGTCTGAAGCTGCTGATGGAATGGGAAAAGCGGATGAACATTAGGATGAAATGGTTGCCCAGCTTGAACAGGAATTTCCTCTCGGGGACGCGGTGCATGGTGCCGTTGGTCAGCTTGAAAGCGTGGTAGGTTGATATTTGGATGCACAAAAGGTCCTTGTTGCCGCCTTCCCGGAGGGGGTGGAATCGGTTGAACGTGGAAACGAGGTCGTGGACCTCTAACGCCAAAATTCGTCGCCCCGGCTTGGGGTGGAGTGCTTGCAGTTTGATGTATTTGAGGAGGAACATGTAGCAAATTCAGTCCAGGGAACCTTGCAGTAGCATTAGCTTCTGGCGAAGGCCCAGGAGGTCTTGGAATCGGCCCTGGAGAGTTTGCGCTCTCTAATTCATGCATGATCCACTGAGGACCGATGTTGGAACCCGTATGAATAGTCCATTGAGGTCGATTCGGCCCTTCCCCTGGCGTCGCCGCTCCAGCCGTCCTGGGTACATTCTGCTGCCGCTGTTCTTGTAGAGCTTGAGCTGGCGTCTGGGCCCTCTGCGTTGGCTGTCTCGCCTGTGGTAATCGATATGTCAAGTTCTCCGGATCGACGTTAAACCGACACACAGGACAAGTCGTCTGACCGGGACGCGAGAACCAGGGAAGGAGGCACGAGGAATGGAACACATGGGCACACGGCAGTGATACAACCTTCGGAAGTGATGCAAGATCATTCACCTTGTCCACTTTCACTTCCTTGTCCTTTTCATTTCCTTCAGCCGTATCACGCCCAGATACAGACGCAGAAGACTCAGAGGCGACTGCCGATTCAGGATGATCTGGCGTCTCCTCTGTCATGCCGTCAAAAGAATTATTAGTATGAGATGTTAAAGAATACGTAAATGAACTATCGGTACCTTCCGAGTTTGCAATGTTTGAGCCGCTGGTCGAAGCCGAAGACCAGGAATCAGTGTGATCTAAGGTAGCAGCCTCTCCATTGCTTTGAGGCAGCACTTCATTTTTGTCCTGTTGCGAAGAAGCCCCAAATTTGTCACCCTCAGCGTCTAATAGACTATCCCAACAGACTGCACATTGCGCCTCAGCACTATCAGTCCCATCAGATACATCCTCATGCACACCAGGTGCACCGCCAACGCGTTCCATTCTCTTGATGAGACTCTCGTGAACAGCCTCCATACCTGCAACGAGCCGTCTTGCACGCTCTGGATCTTCGCGATTCATATCGCTAAACATAGCCCCTAGATTGCCTCCTGCAGCACCACCCAAAAACGCACGCATCATGTTGAAGAACCAGTTCAACTCTTGCTCGCCATTGGTGCCAGGCGTACCAGGCTGAGCAGTCCCATTGTTCGCATTTACTTGAGGTGCCGCCGCTGCCGCAGGACGTGTGGCATCGTGTTGCGCTTGATCAGGAACAAAAGGCATAAATGCGGGTCGTTGGCCATTGCCATCACCCGAGCCGACGGGCTGAGCGGCACGATCGTCCGCGTTTGCTTGAAACACTGCCTCCCCTAGCGGACGCAGTGCTTCATGGTCTTCTTGACGAGTTCCAAAGGTAGAAAAAGGTACTTCCTGTCCTTGCGGGTGATCTCGTTGAGCAGGTGTCCCTTGACGTTGCTGATGTATTGAACCGAGGTTGAATAACCCGCCTCCCGGAAATCCATCCATCATCATTGCATTCTCCCCGTCGTCGATGAAGTGGAAGGTCATTCCCAGTGCCTCCCAGGGTTGTCCTTCCCGGCGCACATTGGCATCAGCAGCGTTCCCGCTTGATTGCCTCTCAGCGTTCGCCTGCTCTGACCCATTAGAGGGATGAACCTGAGGGCCACTTGTAGGAGTTCCAATCTGGATTTGGCTAGAGGTCGAACTTGCGTTTGCATCGCCATTAACTTGTGTGGGCGTCTGTCCCATAGTGCCAGCACCCATGAAGAACTGGCGAAATAATGCATTCAAGTCAAAGTTCTGACCGCTTGTTCCACCTGTGGCGAGTCCTGGAGCACCGAATAACGTATCTGTGTTCATCGGCAACCCATTGGGGCGCAACGGCGGAGGCCCATTGCGAGGCAAAGGTCGGCGGGGGCGATCTGGATGATTTCCAGATTCAGTGTTGCTAGTCGGGGTAGTAGTACGACTTGGAGTTTGCGTTGGTGTTCCAGCAGGTGTTACATACACTGATGGCGGAAGCGATGTATCAGGTCTCTGTCCAATTTCGTCACCTTCGTCCACCTCATCGCGTGTCCGTCTGAATCCCGTCCGTACAACGTCTGGGTTCGTAATCGTATGAGGATTGAGCGCTGGTGCTTCGTCGGGATCATCTTCGACTGTGGTACGATGCACACGATTAGCTGGTCCCGAAGATGGTAATTCCACATGATCATAAACAGAAACCTCTTCCGCATTTGAGGATGCTCCTTGAATACCCGATCCAGTAGCAGTAGAACCCCTAACCAACATCTCAACGTCCTCCGCATCATCCTCCGAGTCGGAAACATCGAGCAAAGCAGGCATACCAATGTCAGCGTTGTCATTTCGGATAACTCGGTGATCGCTAGTATCCTGCCTAGCGCTGCTGTTATTCTGTCCTAATGTAGTAGAGTCCGTTTGTCGAGGAGTATACACCGCCTCAGAACGGGAAATAGAACCAGAGTCGATGTCCATGCTGGCAGAAGAAGAGGCGCCAGGAGGCTGTGAAGTTTGGTTTGATGAAGCTGGGCTTCTCTGTAAGGATGAGGATAATGTTTCTAAAGGTGGCGAGGCCGATACATCAACATCTTCATGATCGTGCTGGTTATGAGCCACTGAGTCGGGCTGTGGTCTCCCAAAGAGAGTATTAAGGAGATAGTCAAACGCTCTTTCCACCGCTGGATCGAGTTGACCGCCGGTGCGGGCTCTCTGTCTTGGTCGGTTGCTGTCGTTGTGATTGTTCGTGCCTGCGTCTTGGTTGTTCATGGTAGTTGGTGGAAGAGAGGGTAGAGAACGAAGCACAACCGCCAAGTGTCGTCCGAGTCCACACGGCCACACGTTTGGGCCAATTACGCGTGCGAAAGTGGCACCAAATCCGGAAGTCTCTCAAATGTACCAGAAAGTTCTAATATTGTTCTCCTTCGTCAGCACATCGCAACTTTGCAGAATGCTGCTGACTGAGCATAGACGTGGTTACTGGCCAGGACACACGAGCGTCGTCGTCAAGAATAAGATTCTTCTTCTAACAATACTAACAATTGGCTGTCTGCAACAAGGTTCAATGACATTGGGTTGCTGACGTCACGCGTCGTGTTTATTACGTTACGTAAAACAAACATTTGCTTCCGTCTTCATCATCGACGATCTCAATTGGACTTTCCTCTCTGGATCAATTTCACAGCATATCAATAGCTTGGCATTATTCGAACCTTAAACCAACCCATACAAAATATTCTGCATTTATATTTCGTCTTTTTGCAGGAGGAGCAGCAAGTGACAAACTGGCTTAACCGCTTAACTGCGAACAAGACACCTTTTAACGCCTTGGCAGTTCTCTGGATTCTGTCCGCCCTTAAGGACCCTCCCTAGGTGCTCTTATTCTTCTGTGTGGAGAATTGAAAAAGAAAAAAATGCTAACTGCATGCAATCATACAGCAGCTTAGGTCTGAAATGGATTTAAGACGGATATTATCACTATACAAGCCGACGTGCTTACGTTAGTTACGCAGCTTTCGTTTGGTCTCCGAGGATCCTATTCGTCCACCAACTAAACTTTGTCTCCTTCTGCGGATAAACTCCATTCCAAATGTTCCTTGTGCCGAGAGTCTGAGCGTCTCTTTTCACTTGCAACGTGAAGGAAGGAGCTCTGTCACTGCCGTTGATCAGATAAATACATAACACAATCTTCACATTTGGACTTATGACCTGGGCCTATAGGAGCTGGGAAACTTATTTCGTACCATAACCTCCCTACGTTTATGCTGACCCGCTTCGCCGAATTTAATGTGACGAGCACTTCGGATTATGAGCGTTTAATGCTTATTTATACACTCCACACTCGAGTTGTCTTCAAGGTCAAAGGCTTAATATGACTAAATACAGCAAACCTTGTTGTATGTGCACTCTGTACATTCCTAAATCGTCTTTGACAGTACTTTACCACAAAATATATCGATCGGAGTTATAGTGTTACAATGCGGTATTTGACCTGTACAGTTATTTGAGCTATCTGAATGACCTGTACATGCATGATCTGCTCTTTGAAAGCAAGGCCGGTATAAGATACATGACAACAGTGTGTTTCTCTAACACAAAGAGCACTCGGTAAATGAGTATTAGTATAAAAAGGTGCTGCTTTGCTCATACACTCTGCTCCAGCAATACACTTTCACTGTTACTTATCTCTGCTTTCTCAACTCCTTTGTAATACAAACCTTGCAAGCGACCTTTCTGGATACTGGCAAATCTAACTCTCAATGGGCAGCAGTGTCAACCTATCATAATGTTGAATCCTCTACTGGCAAAGAACCCGGTATGTTCATTAGCATGGAATCTTCCCCGTTGGATAGTCCTGAATTCCAGTACTTTAAGATTCTAATACTATGGAATGCATTCTGGAATGTTTGAAGAGAATTGAGACAACAATGAAGGAGAAGGGTAAAGGCGAGGAGCAAAGGGATGAGGTCACTTCTGTTAAGGATTTAGCTACTGCCTTTGCTACCATTGTACATAAAATAAGTTATTTTAGTTGACTGAGTATTGAACAATTAGTTTGACCTCTTAGTCCATCTTCATGGCATCCTTGAGTGCAACATTCTTGCAGTATGCACAAGGATCGTTTAATGCACGACCTGCAGGAACTCCTGACAAACAACCCGATCATGTTGTAGAAGCCTTTCCTCTCATATCAATTTCCCTGTCTCTTGGGTCAACCTGCATTTTGGGGTTTGCCAGTGTTGCTGCTTCAAATTTTCTCAGGAAATCATCAGGATTCACCCCACTACTAGTTGCTACTGGGAAAGTAGTCAGACACTGGCATGTATCTACAAGATGTGAGCACTTTATTCAGTTGGATTTGATAGCAGAGGAAACCACTTACATGATACCTAAGATAACAATACTCTGGCTGAAACTGCTGATGGCCGTGGCAGTGAATACGACCATCAACAATCAACAATACATGCAGAAGACTATGTTATACGCTCCAGGGAGTTGGTGGACTTATCCATATTTCCGCTTACCTACTCTGCCACAACATTCCTTGTGGGATTGTCAGTATTTGTCTGGGCCGAGCAGTCACGAAGTGTATCAATCTCATTAACAGTAGCACTTTTCATGGTCTTAGCTCTTGTTAGTATTACAGACTTCCCTACCTCAAATCCAGATGGTAGATCTAGACAGAAGGATACTGGAAGCAAGCAGGAGGTTGGAAATAGGGAGGAGGATGGAAGGGAGAAGCCTGGAATCAACGGTTAAGACCACCTATTTCATAATGGCCCTGCCTTGCTTGTCCGTGTGTTTATTTTAGTAGATGTACGACGTATGGGAAAGCAGGACTTTCTCATCTCGGTAGATTTATTTGTTCACGTCTGGCCTCTTTAGCACATATAACCTTACTTTCATCATTGTACATCAATGGGGCGTGAAGAGTTCTCGATTAGCTAACAACAGGTCTAACCCCCTTCGCAATGAATGCGTTCACCGCCTTATCACCCTTAACGACACGAACGCGCGGACGGAAAGAGAAATCCACAAGACCAGCTTCTTCAAATACGGGACGCAGTGCAGCCTCGTCAAATCCACCCGCATGAGGGACGAGATGCTTACGTTCTGCGTCGTTCATGTGTTGTCCCATCAAAGTCTGGCTTGCACCTTTAATGATATCTATCACGAGCAGGACACCGCCTGGCTTGAGGAAGAAGACCAGTTTACGCGTCACATCTGTGATAGAAGCAAAATGGTGATACGCCATTGAGCACTACCATATTGAAATATTATCATTAGAATGGCGTCGGAAGTTTCTGTGATGGAAACATACAACTACGACGTCAAATTTCTGGCCGTCAAGTTCGCCCTCCTCGCCTTTGATATCGGCACAAATCGCATGCATTTCTTCTTCAGGAATTCCCTGGTTCTTGACACGAGTGTTGTATATGTCGACCATGCCTTGGCTAATGTCGACACCAACGATCTTCTTTGCATGCAGGGCAAGTTCCCGACTTACAAGCCCTGAATAAAGTCGTGTCATTATATCGAACGCTTTTTAACTTGTTTAATATACGTACCAGTACCGCATGCAAAATCCATGACGTGCGTCTTGTCCGCATCGAAATTATATTCCTTCAAGAGACCACGACCAATGGAAGCAACGACCTCTTGGAGGTGCGGTTTCTCGTCATAAGCACTTGCTGTCTTATTGAAGTACTCTCGATTTGCCTCGGCATAGTCGATTGCACCGTGATGTTCATGATGGATTTCGTGGCCTTGTTCTCCGTGAGGATGTTCGTGAGTATGATGAGAGACGGTAGTGTCAGAAGTAGGATTAACAGTGGTAGCCATTGATACTTGTGCTGTAGGAAGCTGGTCTTTCCAAGCTCGAGTATTGAACACTTTTATACCTTTCAAATTGTCTGAGTCAGACCATTGTAACTGCGAAGGTTCCGCGGCCAAAGGCGTTCCAGCTAATTTACAATCGCCGCAAAGTGCGACTATCTAATCTTATCGAGTACCGTCGCACAGTACGTGCGATCACGTGCTGGCACGAGACAAGTTCTCACGATTCTTTATGTGTTGGAACTTGACTTCGTAGTCTTCGCCTTCACATCCTTATTTCTTCACCCTCAACATGATCAGCCGCAATAAATGGGAGTACCGTCTTCGTCGGGTCAAGCTCCTGTATTTATCAGTCTGGTAGCCTGCATATTATTCTTTCTTGCAGGCAAAGAAAAATGACTAGTATCATTGCTTTGCTCTTTCGCCACTTGCGTCCTTACCATCTCATCTCTCACCTTTTCCCGTTGTCTCCAGACATTCATTGCACTCACTACCCAACTTCACGTAGGACAGGGGGTGAGTTCATCAGATGAACGCGCGTGTAGTAGACAGCGCAAGGCTCTTCGAGCCGCAGACAGGTCTCCTTATTCCCTTCAACTCTCACTCTGATGCGCTCCTCGCACAACTCCCCTTACAGCACGGCATGTCGAAACAGCATTTCAACCTTCTCTTGGATATCCTACGCGATCCTTCTTTTGACATGGATCAACTCAATTTAAAGAGTGCGACAGATATTGATATACGGATATCCGAACATCGGCGGCAATTAGCGGAAGAACGAAGTCAGAGAGCACACTCCAGTTCTGTGTTTAGTCCTGCATCTGGATCTTGCAAGTACTTCAAAGCTACCTCGGAGAACACTGGGCCTGTAGGCATGCCCTCCATCGTGTTCGAGCTCCTCATCGACGAACTCGTCAGCCAGATGGAACACTTCGACTACGAAACAGACGCCACACCTGGATCTTCAGAAGGGTCTCGCTACTACAACTCACAGACTCATGCAAGAACATCTACTATTCAAACATGCCTGAAACGCATGTCATTCGTACACCGCTCCTGGACTGAACTTGCTCAACGTGCCCTGCGTCGACGCGCCATCCTCACCTCCCGGCGTTTCCTCCGTGAATTCGCACGCAGTCCTGCATGTGGAGCGGGTGTACGCGAGTTTGCGTACAAGATTCCGAAGAGCGAGACGTGTACTTTCTTTCATGAAGCTTCGGTGGCACGTGAGCATTGGAGTACACTCGCCTCTGTTATCTCACGCTTGTCTACATTGCGGTTTCTTTGTTTAAGTATTGAAAGTGCACACCTTGCTGATTTAAGTGGACTTGATCTCGTTCTAAATTCCATCGCTGGACTGACCAGTCTTGAGGGCCTTTGGTTGGTATCGTCAAGAGATCATTGTCCGTACTTGCCGCAACTATGTCAAACCATCTCAAAACTACCTAATCTGCGGTTTTTATCGATATTCAACTGGACTTGTCCGCGAAGGCCCACAGTCTCTGACACGCTAGAGATGCGAGAAAGGGTTCTCGAACTGACTCCGCCTGCAAGTCTCACGGCTCTGCAAATTCGTGATGACTATTTGACAACTCCACCTGCTTACCTGTCCTGGCTATTCCGACCACGCAACTCATACTCTCTCACAACGCTCGACTTGCATATCACCTTTTCAAGACCTCTGCCAACTTCTTTACTAGACCCAACTGGTTCAAACTCAATGTACACAAACCCACACGTCGACTTTTCGCACCTCCTCGCTTCGCTTTCTCCTCTCCTCCCTCACATCCACTCACTTGCAATTAAGCTCTTCTACCTCGACACGAGCAGTGCAGTCGGTGCAACGATGCACGATACGGACTTACAAGACCTTCTCGCGAGGTGTGCGTCTCTCCGACGCGTCCGATTACACCGCTTACGCTCTGGGCCTTTCATCGATGGCATCCGCATGCCAGGCATTGCACTTTCCACTCCGCTCATCCTTCCAGTGACATTGGAAGAACTGCACATGCACTATACGTACAGCGCGATTAACTGGCGGACGCAGGATCAGCGACTGTGTGGTACGCTTGGTGCTGCGCCCATGCCGAGTTTGCGGCGTGTACTGGTGAGTACTGGTGAGACTGATTTAACTCTTACTGGAATGAGGACTGGAGCGGGGATGGGCTATGGACCGGAGGAGGGACGGAGTGACTTGGTTGATCCATATGTAGACTTACCAAGGACGAGGGAACTTTGCGAGAAGTTAGGAGTTGAACTTGTAAGACATAATAGGGAACATTTGAATCAGTATGTTATTGATGCATTGTCGTAATTCATTGGTTGTAGTTTGCTTTGCTTTGTGTATATAGAATAAATGTACAAAAATATATTTGAGGAATAAGTTGTGTACATACAGCGTGTTCGAAGTTGTATACTTTAGATACGTAAATACTTTACGTGGATGGATACAAACCCGGTAGAGCAAAAAGGAGTGTAACAACAGCGAGGAAAGAGTCTATAAGTGTATATCTCCACAACAAAAGGGAAAAGCATGAGGGGCAAGACAACAACTCAACCCTTAACAAGAATAAGGAGAATACCATAACTCACAAAACACAATACAATACACACTCATGTCTACTTTCTTCCTTTCATTCATCTAGTCATTCTTCTTCTTCGAACCCAGGAGCATACACAAGTCTCGCCTCTGGAGGGAAGAACGCCTGTAACGACTGATGATGTACCTCAGTAACTTGAAGACACTCGGTCGTACTGAGTTCTTCAAACTTGGCGACAAGCCCGCGCTCAGCTGCGCGTACACGCGAGTGGATCATACGAACGACGGCCTCTCCTGACATCTTTTGACATTTCGAGAACTTGAGACGTGTGAGATTTGGAAGGATTGGTGGGCGAAGTGGAATTGCCCGAGTGTGTAGTTGTACTGTCTCATCAACGAGTTGCCAGTCTTCCTCGTCATCAGAGTCATAGGGAATGTCTACTTCGAGAGCGCGCATGACGTTATCTGACATGTCCGATGCGACGATGGTGAACTTCTCCAGACGATGAAGCCTCTCGAATAACCAGCGAAAGTCCTTCGTGCGGAGATCTGCGTAGTCCATCACAAGTTCTCGCAACTCGCAGTCGCCCTCTGCGAAGAGCCGTCGGAGACCCATGCCGGTTGCGTGGTCCGTCCATGGCGATCGGGAGAAATCATGTGCTTCGTCTTCGCTATCTCCTGGTTCACCGGGTGTCGGGTGTTCAAAAATGCTGGATGAATTGATATGCACGAGGATGAGAGACTGTAGTTTCGGTGCACGTAGATGACTGAGGATACATCGCGATGAGCAGATCCCCCGTACAGAAAGTCGACGCAGATTTGGGAGCACCGCAGGTGCAACCTGCCCGCAATCTGGTCTGTACTCTGGGTCGTGCACAAGGAAGAGCTCGTTGAAGTTGGACAGTTCAAGAGATTGTAGGGCCGGGAATGCAGAAAGGAAGGGAACAGTTTGGTGCATCGGGAAATCGCATTCCGTACTGCTATTCATCAGCACGAGCGAGGTCACCGCGTCAAATGGAGCGACCTGCTCTGGAGACGGTAGGCGTCGTACACCAAGAACATACATTTCTCGAAGTCGTTCACCATCCGCTTTGAAATTCTTCGTCATTGGAGAATCCCTGCCTCCCCACCACGTTCTAGGACTATTCGCTTCCTCCGGTGAGACCAGCTGCAGATCACTCTCCATCGCCTTCTTCGGTGCTAGCGTTATAAGCAGAGATTCCAAGCGCGGCTCCGCACCATCTTTCACCGTCAGGAAACGCATTCGCGAGTGCAGATATGACACACTCCGCCACTTGGGTGCTCCTTGAAGCGCATATGAGAGTAATGGAAGCACAGAGTCCCTGTGGCGCGTATCGAGGTCGATATCAAGGGGAAGCGTAGAGCTACGCGACAACCAGAGATCTGCCTTGGCTCGCAGCCGTCGCGAGTCGAATTGCGCATCACTGAGGTGGAGGTGGGTCCAGAGAGAGGGTAGGTCCGTTAGAATGTCCCGCCACAGATGAGTAACGAGTGAAAGGGACGCCGCAACGTCAGGGTCTTGTTCAATGCAGAAGGAGAAGATATGGATGAGCAGCTCAATAGGCAGTGAATCCAGAGGACTGTGGTCTCCTTGCGGGAGCTGCTCGTCGTTGGTAGTCTCCGTCGGGTCGGAGGTGGACGATGCATCCGTGTCCTGATTGTCGATCCATGAGCGCCTCCATGGATTTCTGGTTGCCATTGTCGTTTGAGCGTCGTCGTCATTGTCGTTATCATGAAGAAGAGTATTCATTGGGCTGTCTAGGTGAGAAAGGTGCAGTATCATGGCAGCGACGTGGTGGGTGAGATTAGGGAGACCAGTCTCGTGACCAACTCTGTTGTGGAATAGCGTCGCTGATGTCGCGCATATATTTATATATCCTGCACGGTGCACTGTACACTTGCCGATCTGTTCCAGCGCTTATTACAAGCTACACCGCCAGACAGAATTCAGTCTACCGCTTAAAGTGAGGTCATGTCTATATTGAACAATCCTATCATAGCATACATATCAGGAACAACATGCAAGGATAACTAACACAAGCCGATCACAGTTCATGGGTGGGATTACAACGTTGTTAGGAATGCACAGCGATCAAAAAGAAACGAGAAACAACACGGCTCTTTAACCCGAGCACATCAAGCATGCCTCCTTATTCTCCAAAGTGCACATCAGCTTAGCCTCGGCAAGCTCACGGTCCCGTTGGCGTTGCAAGGCAGCAGCATACTCTGGGTCCTCGGCTGCCTTTGAGGCGTTGCCGTCGAGTGATAACGGCTCAGGCTCCTCCGCCTTTAGAGGCTCTGGTATAGGCGATGCGTAATGCGAGTGCGTTGGTGACGCTGGCGGCTCGGATGAACGACCGTTCACACCAGCTACAGGTGGAGGCGAAGCAACGGGGACCACAGCCTTTACTGGGGTAGGTACTGCAGCAACAGGAATGCCTTGTTTCTGAGCAGCCTTAGCAGCAGCAGCGTCGACAGTGAACTGGATAGCCTGTGCAGCGGGACGCGTGCGGAGGTAGTACATTCCGGTCTTCAGGCCTTTCTTCCAGCCGTAGAAGTGCATACTTGTCATTTGTCCGTTCGTCGGCGACTGTAAGTGGATGTTCAAGCTCTGGCTCTGGCAGATGAACGCCCCGCGATCTGCAGCCATATCGATAATCTTTTTCTGAGAAAGCTCCCAGACAGTCTTGTAGATTGCCTTCACATCGTCCGGGATACTAGGGATGTTTTGTACTGAGCCATTGTGCGCGATGATGAGGTTTCGCATTTGCTCGTCCCACAGACCGCGCTCAACGAGCTCACGCAATAGCCATGGGCAGACAACTTGGAACTCTCCGGATAGTACTCGGCGTGTGTAGATGTTACTCGTGTAGGGCTCGAAACATTCATTGAAACCGAGGATCTGGCTTGTCGATGCAGTTGGCATGGGTGAAAGAAGCAGAGAGTTACGCAGACCGGTCTGTGCAATCTTCTCTTTGAGCGACTTCCAGTCCCACAGATCACTCGGCTCAACACCCCAAAGATCGAACTGAAGCTTCCCCTGCTCAGCAGGGCTACCCTTCCACGATGAGTAGGGTCCATCGACAGCAGCAATATCGCTACTAGACTCTAGAGCAGCGTGATAAATAGTCTCAAAGATCTTAACATTCAGTTCGCGTGCCTCAGGCGAATCGAAAGGGAGGCGGAGCGCCATGAACGTATCAGCCAGACCCTGGACACCAATGCCAATTGGGCGATGACGCATGTTCGAGTTGCGCGCCTCTTGAACGGGGTAATAGTTGACGTCGATAATACGGTTGAGGTTGAAAGCGACCACCTTTGCAACATCATGCAGCTTCTGGAAGTCATAAGTGCTACCCCGGATAAAGGACGGAAGAGCGATGGAGGCAAGGTTGCACACGGCGGTTTCGTCAGGAGACGAATACTCAATGATCTCGGTACAAAGATTGGACGACTTGATTGTCCCGAGATTTTGCTGATTTGATTTACCTGGATCGACTTGAGACAAAGCAGTCAACAAGAGGAATGATATATCGACATACGGTTGGCAGAATCTTTGTAGAGCATGAAGGGTCCGCCTGTTTCGACTTGAGCTTCAATGATAGCATACCACAGCTTCTGAGCCTTGACAGTCCTCTTGGCGCGGCCTTCATTCTCGTATTTCTCGAAGAGAGCTTCGAATTCATCGCCCCAGACTTCGTGGAGGCCCGGAGCTTCATTCGGGCAGAAAAGAGGCCAATCACTGTCACTCTCAACACGTTTCATGCTAGGGGAGCGTAAGAAAATACCATCCACACGCAAGATAAAAGGAGACTTACAAAAGATCAGGAATCCAGAGGGCATAGAAGAGGTCACGAGCGCGGACTTCTTCCTTTCCATGATTCTTTCGGAGATCAAGGAATTCGAAGACATCAGCATGCCACGGCTCGATATAAATTGCGAAAGCCCCTGGCCGCTTGTTGCCTCCTTGATCGACATAACGAGCCGTTGCATCAAAGGCTCGAAGCATAGGGACAATACCATTAGAGTATCCATTGGTACCAGCAATGTACGAACTATTGGAACAGATTAGGCACGTTATCATATTTAATTATCCAAGGATCTTACCCAGTTGCACGAATGCAATGAATGTTGAGACCAATGCCACCAGCAGTCTTGCTAATCATGGCACATTGCTTGAGAGTATCGTATATTCCGTCAATGCTGTCCTCCTTCATAGTCACGAGAAAACATGAGCTAAGCTGAGGATGCGGGGTACCGGCATTGAATAATGTGGGGCTAGCATGGGTAAAGTAACGCTGCGACATCAAATTGTATGACTCGATAGTACGCTCAATATCACGACCATGGATGCCGACAGCAACGCGCATGAGCATGTGTTGCGGCCTTTCAGCAATCTTGCCGTTGATTTTGAGGAGGTAGGAACGCTCAAGGGTCTTGAAGCCGAAGTACTGGTAATGGAAATCACGCTCATAGACAATGGCAGAATCAAGGAGCTCGGCATTGTCCCGGACAGTCTCGTATGTCTCCTTTGAGATCATACCAGCGGGCCTCCCGTTTCTTGGGTTTACTATATCGGAGTGAGATGCTGTCATGAAGGACGAAAGTAGATGAGATGCATACCATAGTTGTACAAATCACTGATGACCGCAGAAAACTTCTTTTTGGTCTCTTTGTGAAGATTGGAAATGGCAATACGGGCCGCGAGAATGGCGTAATCAGGATGCTTGGTCGTGAGATACGCAGCGGTCTCAGCAGCAAGGTTCTGAGTGTTGGAGCGTTAATAGGAACTATAGCAGAGAAGAGCCAGTAGACATACATCAAGCTCCACCGTCGTGACGCCCTGGTATACTCCTGCAACAACCTTCTTCGTAATCCTACCCCTCGCGTAAGCATCAATAGAGCAGATACTATCTGTAGACTCACTCAATTGGGTCAACGTGCTTAGGATCTAGGCCGAAGCACAGCTTGCCAATACGCGCTGTGATCTATATGAAGGTATTAGCAACTCGTACGGCATCGACTGTTTCGGAAACATGTTATGTACCTTGTCGAATGCGACACGCTCTTTGCGTCTGCAGGAATGGAATGATGAGTAAGTTACACTGCAAATGTCTGGTCGGGGGGTCACGCTGTACGTACCCGTCTGCGCAAACAAGTCAGACACACCAAGGAAGTAAAAAGCGTGTGTGGCACTCACCTCGCTTGTAAACGTAGGCCATCTCGTCTTGCCGGTCGAGTTTGATAGCAAGAGTCGAAAAGAAAGGCGAGTCAGAAGAGAGACAGGAGATGGGAGGATGGTGAAGAGAGGGAACTACGCGACGCGTCTGTTTTAAATTGGCGAGCACGAGGGGATTGCTAAGCTGCGCGCTTTTAGTCGGAGCCCGAATTTACAAACACAAAACACCACCGTAAAATTTGTTGCAACAAAAATTCCTTGGATTAACGGAATAAACACGCTTCTAGTGTGTTTATCTACACAAATACACGATAATTTTGAAGCTTTCTCGGAGGAGTGAATTTAAACTGAGCAAAGTCAGTATATTACGCGTCAGATGAGCGTGGGAAGGACAACACCTGTAATTAACGCGTACGCGTTCTTGACTCTTGTTTGTCCCGTGTTCGTCTCGCCCTGACTCGTATCACCTAACTCCATCTATCGGCCAGTATTCGCTAATCTCGGAAGCGCTGCTCGAGTCAACTGTTCGTACGATTCACACGGAAAGATGCCTGCAACACGTCATACAACGCACGTCGTCGAGCCCGTCTATGCGACACCCGTAATTCGCGCGCCTTCACCAGCGGAATCGATCAACACCGAATATGGTCGAGATGAGAGCTCCGTAATGGATGCGGATGTTGATGATGAGGAATTTGCGCGTAGGACCGAGGAGCAAATCGGATTGAGGCGGACAACTTGGGCAGAGGCAGGACCTCCCAAACCAGTCATTCTCCCAAGGACAAAGGATGCTAAAGAAGAGCAAAGTGAGTTGCCTGGCTCGTTATTCAATAAACAGTAGTGCTTCGATCACTTTCACTTCGCAATTTTATTTGTGCTTCTCGTTCGATCCCGGTTGCTAATCCCACCGTAACTTGTAGTGATGTTCGAGCGCGTGATGAAGAATTTACGAGAAAAGGTCAAAGAGCTTGAAGACGAAGAGCTCTACGACACTATTATACAACAAAATCCAGGCCCAGCATTCTTCACTCCAGAACCCTCATCCCGAGATATCGAGACTATCATGCGCAGCATGTTACCATCATCCAAACCAGCTCAAAGCTCGTCTGGCTATCCAGCGAGCCACATTTCGGATCATCCTTCCAGCTACACTATTCAGATATCAAGAATGAACGGAGAGAGCAGTGGTGCCACCGTAACAGGACCTCGTTATCCGGGAAATCTGAGTAGGAATCAATAATTCGTTCTCTCTATACTTTTGCTGTTTCGTTTATATTGTAGGAATAGATGCTTTATCACTTCACTGTACGATGTATTGACAATACAATGCACATTCTCAGTGATTCACCTCGTTAGGATTCAAAGCATAATAGAAATGAATCCCATTGTATATTCTCCCATGGTCTTTCCTTAAGCAAAATGAACGTGCCATGGGACTATGAACAAATTCGGCACACGGACGACGCTATTAGTATTAGACTAATTTAGAGCACAGGGCACATTTAAGAATCAAGCATCCAATAAGATAAATAAACACAGGGTGACGAATAATGTGTAAAAGCGACAGATAAAAGTGGTAAGTAAGGACTTAAAAGGAAATACAGGCTATGGGCTCCTGACTGTGGGAAAAAATGTGACAACATTTTGAAGTTTGCGCCGCGATAGACTTCGTCCACTTCTATAAACACCATGGTAAGTACATGCCTTATTATTCTCAAACACTTTACGTTTACGTTTTTGGATTTTGCCAGAGACCCATCCTTCTTCAAGGCATGTTGTGTACCTGGGTCTTTCGGGACAATTTTTCGCTGACAAAGTTTCTTGGATGTCTTGATTTTGGCGGTCGTCAATAGGTCACGAACGTTCTTTAACACAGATTAAATTTAACAGGGAGGGAGACCTACTCTTTTCCTGCTCCAAGGACCAGGTAATCAACGTCTGGTTCTCAGACAACGGGGAGCGGCTTGGGACGTATGATGGACACAATGGTACAGTCTGGACAATCGACGTCGACCGTACGTCTTTCATCCTTTATTTTATGCGCATGTAACCGATGATTTTATGTGCAGATGAATCAAGATTCCTCGTCTCAGGGGCAGCAGACAATACGATGAAGCTATGGGAGGTATCTACTGGACGCTGTCTGTATACGTGGGAGTTCCCGACCGCGGTGAAGCGCGTGGCGTTCAGCGCAGACAGCAAGCAGATTGTGTGCATTACAGAGCAGCGCATGGGATATCAATCTGCCATCCGGATTTTCGACATCAATCGTGAAGGCGACGGGAGAGACCGTATGTACTAGTTTGTATTTAATTGTTGAGCGAGTTTACGATGTTTTTTTACTTGCAGAATCAGAAGAACCCGGAAGCATGTTCAACCCAATTGGGTCAAAACCCACTGTTTGCACCTTCGCACTCACGCCCTCCCTCATCCTTACCGGTCATGAGTCTGGAAAAGTGGCACTCTTTGACGCTAAAACGGGCGAAGAAGTGAACAATAACGAGCGGGCACATATGGACGTTGTAACTGATTTGCAACTCTCTCCGGACCGAACATATTTCATCACAAGCAGCAAGGACAAGACAGCAAGATTACATGATACACGCACGTTAAATGTGCTCAAGACATACCAAACAGAGACACCTCTTAATAGCGCGGCAATTGCCACGTTGAGGCCATATGTCTTGCTTGGGGGTGGACAAGATGCGATGAGCGTTACGACAACTTCGTCACGACAAGGAAAGTTCGAGACCCGATTTTGGCACAAGATCTTTGAGGAAGAACTGGGGCGGGTAAAAGGCCATTTCGGACCTATTAACACGTACGCGTGTATTTTATCATTTGACTGATACCTCATTCTTATTATATTGCCCATTCTTCTAGTTTGGCTGTTCACCCGTCTGGGAAGGGCTATGCTTCTGGAGGAGAAGACGGATTTGTCCGAGTGCACCATTTCGATGACAGTTATTTCAAGGCAAAGCCATACGGAGACCTCGAGATTGAAGAGTAGATTCTTATCTCGCTTTCGGTAGAATCGCTGCTTCACGTCTGCCCCTTCGTCCTCGCTTCTCCCGACTGCTTTGGTATCACGGCCCTTCCATCACCCCGACAAAAGCACCTCACACCCGCCTTGTCCGACCGTCCCACCTTCATTGTTTCCTTATAGCCAAAACTATCTGTCATGTGCTTGGCTAGATGTACGTTGATGTGCTAGAAAGTGGCAATTTCATTATTATGATGTGTATCTGTCGTAATGTCATTAATGCTGTGTCACTTTGAACGGAAGCTCTCACCTCCTTTGTTATTCGAGGATCATTAGTTTCCAATACCCATGTGAAAGGAAAGCTGAAATATGGTGACGACAGTCATTGCCATGATGCGCCCGCTAACGAATATCCCCACATTTCGACTCGCCGTCAAGAACTCATCTTCTAAAACAATATTCTCTTATGCACACAACCATATTTACCTCGATGATCGCACTAGATTTGGCGTGCGATGATTGCGTCCAACAATATTGATATTCAAGAAATGGTGTTAAGATCAGTAATCTGTCAGTGTCAATATTGCGCCACGTCCTGTGAGCTCAGTCACGGGAATGGATAGATATACGCACTGCCCCATTTGTTTAAAACGTTATTACTAGTACTGTGCGAGATCACGTACGTTGACGATTTCATTAATGAGTTATTGTAAGAATAAGTTAGAATATATTAGCCTCCAGTCCCCATTACCTCCAATATGTAAGCGGGAGGGCTTAGGAGATAAATAATAGAATGTTGTTCTGTTTCAGGTGAAACAACAGGCAAAAGGAGTTTCGGTCTATATTGGCTTATTGAACCGTGTCAACCATAGTATTAGTAAAAGGTACAAAGCTCCGACGTACCCCACTCATGCGATGGACAGCATGCGGGAATCTAGTGCATGGCATTGATGGCGTTTGACCCCCTATATTACCATCCGGATTCCACACACATATTAACAAGATTAATCGTCGTAAACCATTTAGATTCATTCTGAATATGCTATTATTAGGCTGTGGAGTCTACCGGACTACAGAGTCCATTGGAAAAAGCAGATGAACAGTGGGAATACATCAAGGTTGATACGAACCACTTTAGTTGTCAATCACTCGTCATGCATGCGGCATGACGATAGTCCCTCACAAGTGGAGGTGGTTCAATGGCGAGGGAAGTAGAAAATTCAGTCTTGCGGTCCCGGAGTAGTTCTCTTCTAGTCGCTTCGGAACAATAAAAACAGCGAGATAAGGAGCAAAGGGGATCCTCCTTATCACTAGTTACATCTGCAGCTGGCTCGGAAGCTTGTTGGATGTCGCTTATGAGGTGTGAATCTCATTTGAGTTTGACAGAGGCTAAGCAAGAAATAGTTGATACTGAGGAGTCCAAATTTGGACCGATCAAAAAGCAGCCGCCGGTTGTATGATTGTTTTCGTTCCACCACGGTCGCTCCGCACTGGTAGTGCAGTACATCACCACAGTGCATCCACCTCATTAGCAAAGCCTTAAAAAAGACAAGATGACACTGCCAGGGACTACACTTGCTGTGTCAAGCCGGACATATGGACGGAGATGACTGAAAATCTATTCCAAAATGGGATCTGGGGCACGCGCTTCCGTGCGGATTTAGCACAGCATCCGATTATTCTTGCTATCTCTTGCATATGCTTTTATTTCTTCCGTACTGAGGGCCCGCTTGTAAACTCATATTCTCTGATGTCAGATGGGGATGGAGCTATGGCGACTGCACACCACGCGATGGGAGCCCGCGAACCTTGTCAGAGCAGTCTCCTTGGAGGTGTCTCTTCTCATGCTGATGCTCGTCTGACAGCAAAAAAAGTCTGCTTGGGCGATATGACTCTGAGTCCTGGAAGACGTTGCTATCGTGATACCGGTATTATGAACCAGCGGAACTTGGGCATGAGAATCGGTTTGCCTCCTGAGTGTGACTGACTGTGATGCACTGCTGGCGGCTCCCGATTTTAGCTTCTTTCTGAGGTCTCCTAGGAGCAGCTACTGCACCAACCGTCTTCTGTCATTTACTCTAATTAGGCTCCTCTCGTAGTGTTGGAGATGTGCATCATTCTGTGCCTGCGTGACGCAAAGGGTCTTCTCTTGCATATAAAGGGACCCATTCCATTCGGATCCATCCCTCACCAAACAACTTGTTATCAAAGTCTCTTAGTCTATATCATCCCCCTTACTACGAACTCACGACGGGTTGTCAACCATCCAAGTTATTCTCTACATCTGCAAGCAAGATGACGCACCACAGTCACGTCGTAATTAAGGCCCTCCCCATCGCTGCTCGCCTCTCGAAGGGTGGAAATGCACGCCAGGTACTAGCAGCAGACCGTGCACGTATTGCGAAGCTTGCAAAAGGACATTCGCCGCACGGTCCTGCCGTTGTGCATAACAAGGCAGTCAAGGCCCACGTACGCGCGAAAAAGCCCTTCGCAAGCGCTGAGGAACCGAGCATCGATGTTACCGATGCCGCCGTAACCTACACTATGCAGGTTGGTGTTGGCTCCCCTGCCACTGACTACACACTTCTGTATGCAATCCTTTAACTTAATTAGAGAGACTACCTTCGACTGATTAGTGATCATCTCATCAACAAAGGATTGACACAGGAAGTTCCAACACCTGGGTCGGTGCAGACAAGAAGTATAAGAAGACATCAACGTCGAAAGATAGTGGTAGAACAATTCAAGTGTCGTATGGTTCAGGCTCCTTCAGTGGTGAGGAGTTCACGGACCAGGTCACCCTTGGCGGTGAACTCGTGATCAAGAACCAGGGTATTGGCGTGTCCTCTCAGGCACAGGTAGGACGAAGTTCGTTTGATTCTCTTCCTCTAGAGCTGACATTGCTTTTCAGGGATTCAACGACGTAGATGGGATTCTCGGTATTGGCCCGACTGATTTGACGGACGGCACGGTTAAAGGTGGACAAGTTGTGCCGACCGTGACAGACAATCTCTTCAAACAAGGCACGATTCCGACAGAATCCGTTGGTATTAGCTATGTCCCTACGACTGGTTCAGATGGTTCTGCCTCCGGCATGCTGAACGGCGAGCTAACCTTCGGCGGTACTGATTCGTCCAAAATCACGGGCGAGATTACCTACGTACCGATCACATCAACAAGCCCTGCTAGCAATTACTGGGGTATGTCGTATCATTATCTCGTGTACGATTCAGGTATTGACGAGGTGCCTTTCATAAAGGAATTGATCAATCCATCACGTATGGAAACTCGGGTACTCAAATCCTTGATACAACAGCAGGAATAGTGGACACCGGTACAATCATTAATCTCACCTTCCTTCCGTAAGGTCGTGCTGACAGAGTTTTGTAGGAACGACACTCCTCTACCTTGCGTCTGATGCCTTCTCGGCATATCAGCGTGCAACTGGCGCTACCATGGACCAAGCAACAGGTCTCCTCAAGCTCTCAAGCAGCGAGTTCAACAATCTGCAAAGCCTATTCTTCCAGATCGGTGGAACCACATTCGAGATGACTCCTAACGCACAGATCTGGCCACGATCGCTGAATAGCACCCTTGGTGGTGACGACAATTCGATTTATCTCGTCGCTGCCGATAACGGCACAAACAGCGGACAAGGCCTTGACTTCATCAATGGCTTCGTGTGGCGTAAGTTTCAGCCGTGTTACCCATGTGTGGTATTATTATACTGACACTGTTGCAGTGCAACGCTTTTACACTGTATTCGACACTACCAATTCACGTGTTGGTGTTGCTAACACTCAGTTCACGGACGCCGAAACCAACTAGGCAAAGCAATCGCAAGCTGAACTTACACCTTCGCCATTGCTATTGGACTGAACCTCTTGGACTATGATTTACAATGTATAGGTCCTTCCACTATGTACCAGACCGAACTGTGCATATACGATTTGTTTACAATGTGTAGTTGAATTAATGTACTAGTAATCAGACGATACCGAACTATGAATTGACTGATATGTGGGTTGAGCTGAATGGTGGTTGTGTGCGTGTTTTATTATGGTAGCTGCTCTCTTCTCCACGATCTTGCCCGACGTGTCTGACGACATAAGTGGTGTTAAGACTGGTATGTGAAGTCTGATAATACTTAACGCAAATCGGACTTTCACTTTCGCCGTTGCTGAATCTCTTGGACCATGATATTGTATATAAGTCCTCCCATTTTGTACCAGACCGAACTGTACATATACGACCCGTTTGCGAAGTGTAGTTGAATTAATGTAGTCCTATGATAGAAAAAAAAATAGCACGAGGGATGAATTGACTGGTTATGTGGGTTGAGCCAGACGACGGTTGCTTGCGTGAACGTATAGTCAGGAGACGGCGACGGAGGTCCACCGGCAAGGAAGATGTTACTTGTACTAAGTTATAAGTAATATAACAGATGCTCTGCAACACTCAAAACAGCGGAACGACCACCTTTTAGTACCATAAATGGAAATTTTGCATTTGTAGAAGAACCAGAAGAGCCTGGTATCCCTTCCGCGGAGTGGATCACTGAATTTACCAAAACAGTTGACGAGGCACACTTTGTCACTTTGGATTGCCGTATCGATTCGCTGTTTGCTTCCCTGGTGGTTTCTTGATCTGCTGTCTATTATAGGCGATGTACCGAGTTTTTAGGAGGGAACGTTTTAGATTGCGATAAATAGAATTGCAGAAAGGATAACATCTATATGTTCAGTATTGTTAATGTTCTATAAACCCATAAGCTACTACTTAATCACAGGGAATATGACTACGAGAACCGATATGTGTTAGCTATAGATGGATTGAAGATATGAGAAGAACTAAACAGACCGGTCTAACAGACAGCACGCAACGAATGACGCATATATACAAGCATCCATCAAGCACCAATATGCACCAAATTGACCCATCGCTCTGTCTGGACGTCTTCCTTCCGCAATGCCAAAACGGCATTACGGAGCGCAGCTGCGGACCGCTTATGTATCACTTCGCCGTCTTCATAGTCTGCCATATACGAATAAACGTCTCTAGCAAGTAAAGGCCCATCCGGATCGTACATTTCCCACATCGTCCCAATCACGCTTCGAAAACCACAGAATTGCACGGCGGCGGCTAAGTGGAGAACTTCATCATACGTGCCTAGTGATGGCCCAATTCCATGCTGTTCGGCGGTGTGGCAGGCAGAGAGAAATGCAAATTCAGCATTCGGAAGATTAACTCGCATGATATCAAGTAATGTCAATCCCTTATCAGAGAGCCTGAAGGAAGAGTCAAGCGATCCTGAGCCTAGATGGCCGTGACAAGCAAAATGAATCCACGTGACGTCCTGCAGACCTTCTATCACTGTCTTGCGAAGTGCTTTCCCATCGAGGAATAGTTTATGAGATGAAACGTAACTTCGAGTGTTGTTTCGAACGGCGCGAACTTCAGACCTAGTGTATTTTAGGGTTTTGGTGTCAGCAACGATGAGCATTGTAGGGTCGTCCTCGCGACAGGCCTTGTCCGTCGTCTCATCCCTTGACCGGGCTTTGATGAGAGCTCCGAGTGTCGGAGTATACGATGACACGTACTCGTCCAATATATACTTTATTGTCCCACCCGCATCTTTGAATGGCCCGGCGGCGTGGAAGGGCAGGGCGGAAAGTATGGACGTAGGGCACCACCAAATCCGCGCTCCTTCGCCAATCCCTAGCTCCTTAAGTTTGCTGACGACTTTGCTGACGATTCTATCCCAGAGCATCTTCATTGCTTCGATAAGCTTCTCGTTATATTCGGGTGAGCCAGCCTTAAAGACCTGTCGTGTTGCCAAGAGCTCAACGGATAAAGTAGTGCTATCCTTATAGAACTGTCTATCTAACGGAACACAAACGACCGGCATGTCTTCGCGGGAGAGGACAATGAGTGCGTCAGATCGATATTTGCAACGGTTTACCACAACCACCGGACCCTCCAAAGCTGCCTGCTGGAGTACTTTAAACGGTGTCGCAGCTAGAAACCCTTGAAACCCAGGGATTCGCCGTATCTCATGAATGATATCCTCCTGCTCAAGAGAGAGGTGCTTCTTCAGCTTCAGTTGTTCCTCGAAAAAATTTCTTTCTTCGTACACGTCCAGTGTAGACGGCTCGCTTTCAGCCATGCTAGAAACAGACTGAAACTCTGTAGATGATGTCACAAGGTTCTCCAGCCGGCGACTAACACTCTTAAATCTCTCAGCAAGCTCTCTATTTGTTTCTGCGAGATCATCAAGAGGTGCCCTAAAATTGCGCATTTGCAACCAGAGAAGACCCCTTCCTTGTTCACCTATCTCTATAGCCTCTTCAAGCCTATTTCCATCGACAGCATAGGCGACCGCGTCTAAAGCGAGTGTTCCGTAGTTTCTTTTCCTTTTAAAGAAGTTGCACTGTGTATGAAGAGTAGGGCTGACAGTGACAGCACGTTGGAGAAGCAACAGCGCTACCTTGTAAGCTCGAGATGTAGTATGATGAGCATGATTTCGGGCAACGTTGGCCCACATAACGGCGGATGCGAGACGGACCGCGATGCCAGAAAACTTATGCTCAGCGGCGCGCTCGAGTGATCGTACACACGTTTCAAAATCGTCCGTGAACCCAGACTTCACAAATCGAGAAAGTAATGAAGCAGCATAGTTTCTCAGTGATCCGGAATGCTCGGGATGACCATCAGGGCAAAGATGCAGGGCAGTGCAATGGTGCTCGATGGCCTCATTAATGTCCGTGGTCTGTCCATCTTGATCGAACCGAGCTCGAAGGTCAGCAGCAAGATTATTCAAAGACCCCGGACGATTGGGATGGCTGTCGGGGCAAAGCTGCAGAGCGGCGCGATGGTGCTCGATGGCCTCATTAATGTCTATTGTCTGTCCATATTGATAAAAGCGAGATCGAAGGTCAGCAGCAAAGTTATTCAGTAACACGGAATGACCAGGATGACTGTCAGGGCGAAGTCGTAGGGCAGCATGATGATGCTCAATGGCCTCATCAAGGTCTGCAGTCTGTCCATGCTGTTGAAATCGAATGGAAAGGGACTTCGCAAGGTTACCGAGAGTCCGAGGACGATTGGGATGGCCATCAGGTCGAAGTTCCAGGGCGGTACGGTGATGCTTAATGGCTTCATCGAGATCTGCAGTCTGTCCAATCTGTTCAAATCGAGTGCAAAGTAGCTCTGCAAGATTGTTTAGGGGCATGGAAAGATCAGGATGGTCGTTAGGGAAAAGTTGCAGGGCTGCACGATTAAGCTCAATAGCCTCATCAAGATCTGCAGCCTGTCCGTTCCGTTCGAATGAATGTTGAAGGGAACACGCAAGGTTATTCAGAGACATAAAGCGATTGGGATGGCGGTTAGAGAGAAGTTGCAGGACAGTACGGTGATGCTTGACAGCCTCATCAAGGTCTGCACTCTTCCCGTGCTGTCCAAATCGGGATCGAAGGGAGATTGCAAGGTTACCCAGGGCTTCAGAACGATTGGGATGGCCGTCAGGGAAAAGTTTCAGGGCAGCACGATAATGAGATATGGCTTCATCAATGTCCCTAGTCCATCCATGCTGTTCAAATCGAAGTTGTAGACAAAGCGCAAGGTTATTCAGAGAAACAGGACAACTGAAATGGCCATTGGGGAGAAGTTGTACAGCAGCACGATAATGTTCAATAGCCTCATCAATATCTGAGGTCCGTCCGTGCTGTTTGAATCGAGAATGAAGAGAGCCTGCAAGGTTATTCAAGGGGATGGACCTGTTGGGATCATCTTCGGGGGCCAGTTGCAGTGCAATACGAAGATGCTCAATGGCGTCATCAAGGTCTGCTGTACGCCCATGACGTTGAAATCGAGTTGTAATAGCACCTGCGAGGTTACTTAGGGAAGCGAAACGATCGGGATGGCCGTCGGGGCGAAGTTGCAAAGCAGTATGATGATGCTTGATAGCCTCATCAATATCTGCAGTCCGTCCATATTGTTCAAATCGAGTGTGAAGGGAAACTGCAAGGTTACTCAGAGACCTAGAACGATCGGGATGGCCAATGGGACGAAGTTCCAGGGCAGCATAATGATGCTTGACGACCTCCTCTAGATCTTCTAATTTCCCATATCGCTCGAACCGCCTGTAAAGAGAATCACAAAGAACGTTCAAGATCCCAGAACGATCCAGGTAGTCCTCAGAACAAAGTCCAAGTGCGATACGGCCATGAAAAGTAGATGAGTCAAGTTCTCCCCGCTCTCCCGATTTCTCAAATCGCTTCCAGTGTTTGTAAGCCAGTTGTTAGAGTACATGGCAAATCACTTCGAGGTTTACGTAGAACTCCATGTCAGCACTGGATTGCTACAACATTCGCCAACAGTTCCAACTTTCTTTGGCTGGGCAATGTTTAGTGAGAAGTAAAGAAATCAAGCTACATAGGATGCATTACCTAAAGTCTTCCTTTGTCTTTGGGGCCTGTTTGTCTTATCTACACGAAGGATTCTCTGTAGGTCTGAAAATCTTTCCATTACTCATGTATACTGAAATATCCAGATGAAGAGACCTACCTGTAAGAATTGTGTTGAATTGTGTAAACAGGTAATATTGTTGAGGATGTGTTAAGGCAGCAAATAGTGTCTGTGACTCTGTGGTAGCAGTAAGAATCTTGGTGCAGTACTAGTGTCAGGGTTGAGGGTAGAGTACGAGTGGAAACTCCCGAGAGCCTGTGGGAAACTAGTTTTCCACAGGTCATTTTGCTGGGGCTCTGGAGGCGTGGTAAACCTCGCGTGGACAACACTTAGTCAGCATATTAGTAATATCATTATAATGTTCCAAAAAGGAATTTTTAAAGAATTTTGTGTTGTTTACCTCTATTGAGCTGAAAATTTAGGTACAATATTAATTTCAGACATTGGTTATACTGCTGAGAGCAATTTTATTGTGTTTTATAGTCTACCAGTGTTGAAACATACATAATAAATAGATAGATATATCTAAGAGAAATAAAAAGAAAAAGGTAACTAATTACATTGACCAGGCTTTATTATTGTTCAAAATTTGTAAATTGTCTGAAGAGGTACTGGAAATATTGTCCATATCTATCACTTGTACCTCTCCAGTTTTATCAGAGTGTACTCCTTCAAATGAAGGAGTATCTGAAAGAATGTCAAGCTAAATAGGAGATGTTAACCTAATAAAATGACAGACATAGAGTATATACACTCTCAAACTATCTATTTTCCTTGCTTTTTGTCAGGTTGAGGCATTTTTTCTTAATTTATCTACTGACATAATATTATGTATGACTAATACATTTGAGTTTTCCACAGGCCAATTTCCAGCAACCCTTGTGGTAGTAAGGTTTACCTTGTGGGAAACCTCTGTGGTAATCCTCACTGTGGGAAACTAGGGAGTTTCCACTCATACTCTAGTTGAGGGTTGAGGGTTGAGGTGATGTGAGTGCTTACATCATCACAAAAAAGTCCTATGTATTCTATCTACTTATTCTCATGTTTATTTTGTTTTAATTAATTGGGAGTTTCATTTGATTAAATATGATTAAATATATTATATCCAGGGGGTTTTTTAAGTTGGTAGTAGTACAGTAAAAGTATAATAGGCACTTACACTCATCTGCAAACTACTTTAGATTTGGTTAACATTCTACTTATCTTCACTCACATTTACATTCATCCCTTCCCTTCCCTTCCCTTCCTTTAAATTTTATTCCACTCAACACAAATAGGCCTTACTCTATCACACATTAGATGCATATATATATCCTGGTTTAAAGCATATCCTACAGTCTACATAGTAAAGCATTTTTTTACAAAGCATGTAAGTTATAGTAGTAGCCCATAGGATATGTGGAAACAAACATTGTAGGGCAGGAGAAAACATATTTTCTATTCTTTGCAACAGTTATTCACCCACACATACACTACTTTCCAATATTCTATGCCAAAAATTTCCTTAAGATTTGGAGTAGAAGTTCATCTATGACATATATTGCTAGAGGAGCAACTCTCATTTCCCCTTTCTCACTCAGATTGTACATACTCAGTACTACATCTTGTAGTCTCAGTAGACCCCTCACATCAGATCTTATAAATCTCCTCGCTCTCGGCATCACGACTACACGGGATTACAGCAACGGACCGGTAGCAAGCGAGTTTAGAGCGCTGGTGTCATTTAACAAACTACTCACAGAGACTGGTTGGCTTTTTGTATGTTTATTTTATATTATATATAGATACGTTGTATCAGAGAACCAATCGCTATAAATCAATCATCAAATAAGAGTAAGGGCCTGAAGCCAGCGCTCACGTTGAACTCTATGCAATGTAATAAGCAAAAAGAGGATCGGAAGAATGCACAATAGTAGATAGCATGTATCATGAAAGGTCGTAGTCACGAAGGAACATAACTTAAACGCACGATAGCACTAAGCAAAATGATGATAAAGTCATTACTCCTCGGGAAAGCAAAGTCCTCGGACATCTATCATGTAAATCCAGTACCTCCAATTGAATATCGATAACGCTCGGGCCTATGCGGGTGAGGACGAGGTTGTCCTCCGATAGGATCAGACCAGGAGATCAGTCAAACGCGCTTGACGGTCAGTATAGCGACGCGGCCGTCCTGAGCGATACCATGATTAATGCCTGCGGGAAGAAAAACATGATTAACTTCATACGTCCAAATCATAGCTTCGGAGAAAAAGGTTCCCAAGATATCACTTATGCGCGAAGGATGTATATGATCCGAAAGTTATACTGTATGGCGTTCCATTGGGGCTCCAACTCATAAGTACAGCAGGTTTAGTGTACCCGCATGTCAAACAAGGTAGAATTAGGAAGGAATGGAGATAAATGAAGCAGAGATAACGCTTAAGTTGCGTCCCGCTGCTATTGAAGAAGAGGAAGTACAGTGTACATCCTAGTTCCCCACGCCTCAAAGGTCGGACTTTACATAAGAAAGACACGGCCACGAGCTAATATTGCATGTTCAAGAAGCGCGACGCGCTTCAACGCCTTCCGAAGCCCCATATAGAGTGACACTCAATTAACAGCGGGAGACCGTAGTGCGTTATAATAGAAATATAAAAAGAAGGAAGGAAAGAAGAGAGTGCAAACTTACCGCGTCTTCCGGATTGTAATAAGTTGTTCTCATTCCAAACAACTTCTGCACGCCACCACATGCCTCGATAATGGCTTCCAGATGTCGCTTTCTGTACTAACCAGTCCCGGCCTAGATTATATCCATCATCCACGATCATATGGTGCTTGCCCGAGTTCTGGCAAAAGAAGGAAGACCAAATGAGACTTAAGCCGCTTCTGCCGATAACTGACTTTGAAGCCGAACGCATGCGTACCTCTTCCTTAGATGCTCTGCATGGCGTTGGATATGACGTCGAGCGAACCCGTTTCAGGCAAGAGACGTAGATCCGGGGGTAAAGTTAAGAAGAGACGGGGAAACAATCAGGACACCACTTCCGGATGCACAAGTGTGAAACCTTGTGCGTGTAGCAGTACATACCCAAGGAACCATGCACCGCTGTTCGCAAGAGTTCCGTTCTGTTTCCAGGCGCGGAAGTGATTACCACCTTCATAATTCAACGAAATTTTGACGTGCGGAAAGGCCGCGGGAGTGATAATTAATACATGCGGGAGCATTTCGTGAGATGCGGATAGATTGGGATAAACAAACTGATTGAATTGAGCGGGAGGCAAGCGGGAGGGATTCTCGGTATCAACCAGCCGACAAGCAATTCAACTCGACTGCGCAGACAAGGCGCTCTTCAAAACAAAGCCTCCGAGTATTCCCATCCAGAATATACAAATTACCACAAACGACAGAGTGCTTTTTCTCAAGTTATGAAATAAGAACTTGTGAACTCACCGGCTACGCTCTCCCAGCATGTCCCCCATACGGGAAAATAATATTGACGAGCAAGGAAGCGCTCCTCCTTGCGTCCATCGCCATCTCCCAAATCCGCACGATGGATGTTCCCGTAGTGCAAACCCAGGCACTCTTCTGAGAAGCCGATAGACCTTTACAGGTGCCGGGAAGGACGGAAATGAGATAGTAACGATGGGACAGAGACGTCGGTTTTTGTGTTTAGCATATCCGCTTGTCAGTTATGGTTGCAAGAAGCCAAAGACAGAGCAGAGGCGCCCTAGTACGATGATAGGAGACTCACTTTGCGTAAGAATGGAATCCTGACTCTGTTAGGACGTATGGGTCGGAATGCCCGGAGATGATCACGTTCAACGGCTCTCCGAAATGGCGCGTCGTAAACTAAAAGTAGCACACAAATCGATTGTGTACATAGATATTCACCCAGTTTAATATTATCAGGACTTGTTCCGCGATTGATAGATGGATGACGCGCTTGGGACGTACATCAAGCATACGCCCGCCATTCACTCGCGGGTCGTACCATCCTGGTCCCTGGCTCGACCCACTTCTGTCTAACCCTAACAATGCTTGTTCCGTACGCCCTTCCGCCCCGTCACTACTGAAACGCATAGGAGAGCATTTCACGGCTGCAACGGAGACCGATACAACAAAGCATAATCTCAGCACTTGCAGAACTACGCCCAACTCGGTTCTAAGCATGGGAATGTCTAGGAGATGGAAGTAAGAAAGCAAGAAACAATGATATCTATCACATAGGGGTTGCGATTGTGGTTTCCCATCGTACACGGAGGGCAGACAAAGCTGTACGCCGAAACAGGCTGTCTGTGGTGAGGCGGCCGCTCGCGTGAGCCGTCCGTGGTTCGCACGTGGCACCCACGCGAGATAACCAAATTGAGTACCTACGACGAGACGAAAGAAATTTAAGAAGATGAACCCATGACGCAGTAAATACATTCCATTTGAATAGGTTACAAAAAATAGTACCCTCCACACGCAGCCAGAGGCCTATAGACCCAAAATCCACTCCAAAAACATGTACAGTCGAATACATATCGTTACGGATACATAAATTAAGCACTTTCAAAAAAAATGCGGGACTACCCTCCCGAACCTCGTTATCCTCGGAACTCCAGAACGTTCTGTCAATACACATAGCAAAGGGGAGAAGCAATTGAGTCGCCTCACTAACTGTCATCGCTTTTTGACCACAAGTACAATGTACAACAGGAGTCGGTACACGAGTGCGATAAGCAGAAGGATTACGGCGTAGAGCTTGAAGCTTATGCCCCGAATGCCCAAAGCCTGTGCTCCACACCGCGTGGGTTGCGTCAATCCGGAGAGATTCCGAGATGGAAACGAAGAGCACAACAGAAGAACGAAGATAATATACAGTGTTTATCAAAATTCCAGAACGGCGGGTCCGGTGCGAACAAATTTCAAACGTCGCAGATGTCATTGGATTGCATCATCATCCGTAAGGTTAGAGACGAAACGGGACAAGAGAGCCAAGAGATTGAATTATTGGCGGTTCGACCACATCCGCAGTAGGCCAACAGCCATGCCGGCATGCGGAGCGTCACGGAATGGCATACGTCCCAGAATGTCGAAAATGAGTGGGGTCAACAGACAGCGGGAGAGCGCGAATGCAACGGGCGCGGTGAGAAAACATCCGAAAGGATCCAACAAAGCGGGACAGTGTCCAGTAGACGCCCGTTCGTAGTGATTATCAAAGTCAAATAAGGATTAAAGATCAAATGTTCGTAAGCGTTTGTTGCTTTCATGGAAGTGATGGATAATCGTGACTTGCCTCGAGGACGTCATCGCCTGTCAGAGCGCACTGACCCTGAGCTGTCAGCGAACTTGGATAGTCGCAAAAGCACGTTCCATCGCTTAAAGTAGTGCATGCCAACGTAATACCATGGAGATCGTTGAATACGAGTAGATCGAACGCATATGTCTAGCCAAAAACAACTAATTGTAAGTCATTGGATAAGGAAACAGGGTGCTTAACAAAGTGGATACCTGGTAATCAATGAAGTGTGCCCAATAGTACCAGAAACGGGGGAGATTCACTGCCCTGATGAAATATCCACCCACACACTTCAACGAGAAAAAAACGGTGATTAGTTAAATATAGAACCTCCAAATGAAACGTTATACCATCCAAAACCCGTTCAGGAAAGATGCAACAGCGAGGGATGCCACGAAGTTTGGAAGCATTGAAGCGACCACCGCGGACTAGACATTCGCCACCCGAGTGATGAACCGTAATTCAATTCAGATTCGAATTTCCTGGGTCGACACATGAGAAAAACGGACCTGAGACTCTGCAGTATACACAGCAAGAAATAGTACGCCGAGGAACCTAAAGAACTGGTCCGCTCCGGGATTCAGGCCAATGCTCCAGTAACATATTACAGAGAACAACAGCACACAAACGAAGAGATATGGCAAAATGACAAGTGAGTTGGCGAGGACGTATGTACCGGGCCCATATAATCCATTCATACGCTCACGTACGAAGACAAGACGCTCTTCGAGAAAAGCAGGGATACCTGCGACACTCATAAAGCCGAGGAATGCCACGGAAAAGAAATGCACGCTCAGTCTATCGTTCTGTCGAGTATGAAGATGGCATGAAGGCCAAATGAAGGACGCCAACGTGCGTTGAGTAGGGTCATCAACGGCAAAGGGTGAGGGATGGAGAGTTAGGTTACTCAGAAGAGTCGAAGATAATCGAAGACGTACAATTTTCGCAGAATTCTGCGCGAGGTTGACCCATACGGTAGCTAGAAGGATCCCCATTCCTACTGCATGGCGCGGTGTAAAGACGATAGGCGGGAAGACAACACATATATCCGATGAGCTTCTACTCCGAGCGACAAGGAAAGGAACGAAAAAGAGGAATAATAGTAGGCACTTACGATACATTGCAATTCTCACACCGTATGCGAGCAAGTTACGAGAGTAATTGATCATGTTACGTTCCATGAGGATCTGGGTCTTCTGTACGCTCCGCTTGAGGGCCTTCAGAGTACATCCTTGCAACTTATCCTCATTACGTAGACGTCGTACAAAAGACCTATCCTGGGATCTTGGGATTGAGAATCGGAGCTCGTTCTCGTATGGTTGAGTCCGAGAGTAGAATGACCAGCGAGCTGCAAGGTCGGCGGCAACTTGTCCCCGTTCCTTTGGATCTGTGATGAAATCTGTGCTAATGAAGTCGAGAGCCCGATCTGCTGGGTTCGCAAACTTCGGTACGGGCTGACCTAACCCATCTCCCAGATATGTTGCTAGCCCGCCTGTAAGAAAGATAGCAAATTTACGTTAGTCTGATCGAATCGGGGGGAAATGATAGGATTCTGCGCATTTACTTGTTACGCCGTAGTACACGGTGCGGCCTTGTGCGAGAAGCAGAAGCTTGTCGAAAAGGGAAAAGGTCTCCCAGCTCGGTTGATGGATGCTTGCAATTATAATCATTCCATGTTGTAGTGCGATCTTCTTGACTACGGTAGGTCAATTACAGTGAATATGATACGAGTGATTAGTGAAGAAGTTAGGAAGTCATGGAATTAAGTCCGGGATAACGAAGCGAAGAAAAAGGACACCTACTCGCAGTTAGCACCTCACGGCCTGCACGACTATCGAGTCCACTTGTGGGCTCGTCAAGGAGGAGAATTCTTGGCATTGTCACAAGCGCTGCACCTAAGGTAACACGACGCTTCTGACCGCCAGAGATACCGCGCTGCACCGGGTTGCCGATGCGACTATTGTGGACATCACAAAGACCGAGCTCGGAAAGTACTCGTCCAACTCGTTCGTGGATGACTTGTGCTGGCGTCGAAGAGGCCAAGCTGCGGAGAAGTCGACAGCGAGAGGCTTAACTTAACGACCGCAAATGTACAAGGTACTTGGACGAATGGGGACTAACCCTAAGCGAGCTGCGAAGTAGATGGTTTCCTGAACTGTGAGCACGCCAAGCAGTGTGTCGCTTTGCTCAACATACGCCGTGAGGTTCTTCATATCTACGTCTCCATCACCGTTCACGTATACCTGGATAAACCAGAGTAAGCTTCCTTACGGGCGAAGGATCTTGTCATTTGTGTACTAACTTTCCCCTCGGAAGCATAAATTCGCTTGGCAAGTACGTCCAAAACAGTGGATTTACCAGCGCCAGAGGGACCCATGACTGTGCAAACAGATTAATTCGAATACTCAGAGCGGGATGAAGGAGCTCCGTTAACCTGCTAGCATTTCTCCAGACTCTACCCTGCCAGAAATGCCCGATAAAATTATCTTCTCCTTTATCGAGTATTGGATATTCTCCCATTCGAGAACAAGATGTTCTCTTGGCTTTTGCACCTATTTTCGGTCTCCGTTAGGCGACTCGGTCAACAACAAGCCCGAACAATTGGCACAGACCTCGACGTCCGACGGTTGGAGGGGAATGAACGTGGGTAAACTCATCGTCAGTTAGGACGATACTGCAGCAGAGTGGCGTTTGGGTCTGGATAGTGGGAGCGAGCCGCCGCCACGCCAGTGCCATCCATTCATATGTACTCTAAGGAGAGGCAGACTAAGCTGGACGTCTCGATCGCATGTCAGCTCGTCATCAAGCAATGATGTGTTGTTCGGCGGGAGCTGGGACAGTTTAGAGCGGCGCGTGGCACATTCACAGTCTAGCCCCTAAGTGTAGGTCCCGGCGAAGAGCATGAACTTTGTTCCGTTTTACGAGTTTGGAAAAGACGGAGGTACAGGGACCAACACGGATCAGCAACACATCGTTCAGTGTTAATGAGTTGGCCAAGAGCCAAGAAATTTCATCAATTATCGGCATGTAAGATTGAGAGACGGGCCGAGCGTGATGATTTTTTCGAAGGATCAGTCATACAGAACAGGGACATCCAGAAAGTCAGAGATGCTGGGCTAGTTGGACAGACAGATCTGAATTCGACACAGGATTAGAAACAGATTTTTTCAGAGTTTTACACTAACTCAAATCTGGCAGGAGGTATGCTTTGAGGCAAATCCGGGCTAGACCGAGAGATCCGCCGACCCTGAGTGTGGATCGTCCAGAGCGTGGGAAATGATGACCCACAAACATCGAAACGAAACAAGCCACACGGGAGCCCGATGCCAGAATTGCAGCTCCAGTGGAGGAGGTTTCCCGTTTACCACCACCAGGACTGCATTTGGGTTCCCATCTCGATGTGCTCGTTCTGTCCATTTCCAAAGCGGTGTTCTGGTGCGGCGCCCAACAACCGGGTCCCTCGGAGATTCTTTGCCTTCATAATCGAAGAAATGAAATATATGGCGTGGGCATCTCAGGATATTCTCATCATCAGGAAACGGTCACGGTCCGAGAAGCGACGACTCACGAGCCAACACACAAGGCATTGGCAAACACTCTGCACACGCTCTTGACTGTCTGCAGCGAAGCTCGCCCCTTGCCAGCTTAGCTTCCTGCCATCATCAACCGAGGACTCGCCCAATAGTCTTCAATCTTTCCCTCCTCCTCGGCCTCCGTGGCCATCACTCCGTCCCCTCCAGTCCTCCGTTTGCTTCCGCTTCTAAATCTCTCTGCATTTGCTATAATACCACGAGACGCGCGCTCTTAAAAGTGCACTCAACTGCTGTCTCCCCGCTGCATACTGCCTCCTCGGCTAGTGTCCTTTGAGCGCGCCCAGCATCCATGTCTACCTCTCTGACGACTCCTCAGCAACCTCGCAGTGACCCAAAAGCTAAGGATCGAGACCGTGATGAAGATGGTGAGAATGACGCTGCGCCATCTGGGGGCGCGTCGCGTCCTCCGACAAAGCGTGCACGTAAAGCAATCAACTGCACTCCTTGTCGTACCAGTAAGCTAAAGTGCGACAAGTACGTTCATCTCTTTGTCACTCTGCCATTGCCGTTGACAATCCTTCCTTTCCTGCCAGGGCTCGTCCATGCTCATCATGCGTGCTGAGAGGTCTGCACCATCTTGTACACGTGCTCTGGCAATTAAACATTGCTAATCTAATATTCTTCTCAAGGTACTGCATCACAATGTTATACTGACAGCAAAGACGAAACCAGTTACCGGTGAGCTTGTGCCCATCCCTCGCTTCTCATTTCAAATGATGGAATGTTGATTATAACTAAATTAATTACGATTTCTAGTCGTAATGGGATCGATCCTCACAACGAGATTGCACGAATGCGCCAGTCACTAGCAACTCTAGAAGCGTACGTTGTTCGTGGTCCTAGCTCGCGCCCGGCAGAGTTAAGCTCGGCGTCATCATCGAAAGACCGGAATACATTGCCAAAACGTGATAACCTAGGCGGAGTGCTGAAACAAGAAGCGGACGCAGATGCCATGGCTGTACCTGGTATGCTCGCTGAAAGGGGAAAAGGGGGCTTTTACGCAGGCCCCACATCCGCCGCGACGCTTCTGTATTCATTGAAAACTGCTAATGATGCGCGCGATGGGAACGAGGATGCCGAGCGCGCATCTGCTTCTGGCTCTAATGCGGATTCGGACGTGGACGACGTGCCGACCGACATCTCGCGTGGATTCGATGACGATCTTCTTGCGCAGCTGCCTGCGATTCACGTTATTGACGGGCTAGTCGACTATTATCTGAACTTCTGTAATTGGATGTACCGCCATGTCTATCCACCAACATTCACCGCGTCTTGGAATCGCTTCAAGGATTGTGCATCCGCAGATCGACTCATGCTTGCGACACTTGCTGCTGTTATGGCTGTTGCAGTGCGGTATCTATCCGAGCAACATGCCTTGCTTTCGGCTCTTTCCACTGGAACGCGAGAGGTGCGTTTTATTTATTTATTTTTGTTAATCATGATGTCTAAATTATATTTCCGACATTTATCTACAGGAGATCGGAGAGCGATTTTACATGGTGGCATGCGAGGCTCTCGCAAGATACCGAGCAGAGAGTCGCGTTCTCTCACTTGAGCTCGTCGAATTGCTGCTAATCCGCACGCACTACCTTACACTCTCGAAGACCGACAGCGAAGAAATATGGACGATTCGCGGTGAACTCGTCAGTATCGGTACAGCAATGGGTCTGCATCGGGATCCCGATAAGTGGCGCATGTCGCGCGAAGTAGCAGAACGCCGCCGATGGGCGTGGTGGCATATTCTTTTACTTGAACGGTCAGTTACGGATTGCATTTCATCATCTGAATGACAACTAAAATTGTAATTTGAATTGATATTCCTAGTTGGCAATGCTTTCTGTTCGGTCGACCACTTTCTATCGCTTCGCATCATTTCGACACCCGAATGCCGTCGCACGTTGATACCAAAATCGACAAGACCGGGAGACTATTTCTTCCTAATCTTGTCATGTTTAAACTTGCGGATATTCTGGGCGATATCGTTGATGATGCGGTATCGATCCGGCCAGTACCATACTCGCGCGTGCTCGAACGAGATAAAGAGCTTGTTGCATGGATGGAAGATCTGCCAAGAGAGCTTGATCGTATGCCTAATTGCTTCTTCAACGTGTGAATGGTAACGCTAAACTTCTATTCATATCTAGTGGACGAATATCGGCTCGCACGGTCTCTTGCCAGCCCCGATCCGGCGGATATGCGCCTTGGCGTTCTCAGCGTAATGTACGTTTTGGTGACTTAAACAAACTTCTCTTCGATTTCTCTTCATGTATCTTATCGCTTATTTCTCCAGTATTCGCACGAGCTATTACCACATTCGTTTTACTTTGCATCGACCTTACGCCGCCGCTGCTCATGATCATCCTTCACAACAACCTTCCACATCAGGATCGGCGAGCCAAGAGCACCATGCACGAATGGCGCAATCGCTGGACACTGCTGCAGTTGCTGCGGACAAGCTCATTCAGCTTGTTGCGCAGGCACGACCCGAAGTTCTCGGAAGCGGGAACAACGCATCGCTCGCAGTGGCTGCTCATGTCCATTGGGGACCGTTTCATTGCTTCTCGGCAGCGATGTTCTTCTCATTACAGCTCGTAGCGGATCCGCAACAGCCGGGTGCAAGCTTGTTTAGAGCGAACATCCGCCGCGTGCTCGACTTGTTAAGCATGTCGCGAGGTGTACCTATTGCGGATAAAGCAAGTGATATGCTTCGAGCTCTCCGTCCACTGTATGATTCCAATGCGGAGGACGAATTCGGCGGTAAAGGTCGCTCGAAAGAGAATGTTATTGCCCTTGTCAAGAGCCTTGCATTCCCGTATCACGACTCGTTTGCTAGTCATGGGCATGGTACTCGTTCTCAACATACGGACTCGCCGCGAAGCGCAGGTGCAATGTCGCCGACAACGGTGCGCATGAACCCTGTTGGCGCGTCGAGTGCGTCCTCTCCTGGAGGTACACTTATTCCGATGGTCTCGCCCTCTGTCCCACGCCCTCCCGGTCATAGCGGTCTAACACCAGCACCTCCCTATTCACGAAGTGCCTCACAAGCACAACTTTCGGATATCTTGGCACCAGCTCCCGGTGGCAACGCCACTGCCACTAAACCGACTGGCCTAGACTACGCTCCATATGGTCCGCAGAACGGACAGTCGACGACCTCGGGCGTACTACGTCCGACCCCGACTTTCCCGCTCCCTGCTTCTGGTGGTGGCGCGTTCAACGCAAATCCTTCTGGTGCAGATAATGCATCGATGTGGGGTGCTTCAGTTGGATTTGGACAGGGCGAGTGGTCCCGCTTCTTGGACGTTCTTGAGCGGACGGAGCCAACTGGGCTGATGAACGCCTGAAGTATTTTGTCTCATTCCGTCCCGTCTCTGCGTGCTCGTCACAGGCTCACGCATTCCCTACCAGCCCACGTTCTTGCTATTAGTCATGTCAGTACATGGCATATTCGGTTTATTTAGTCAGCTGCTCGTTAAAAAAGTGTACACTACTTTGGTATGTTCCCTTCAGGATGGAACTCGTATTGTATATAGTGCATATAGACTAGACGAAGAGTAAATATTAATTAATGTGTTTCTTTATTATTGAATGGCAGGATTTTGATGTGTTCACTGTGACTGCTTTGAAGCCATAAATGTGAGCTATTGGAGATGCCTATATGATCTAGCTTGTCTACCTTTCGATTATGTATATGCTTTCTGGGAAGTTTTAGGCTCGAGCGCCATGCTGTAGACCCGTAGTTGAGTGGGTGTGGGTAAGACGCGAAGTGTAATACTAATTATCCACAAATAACGCGGATAGCTCATCACGTGCTTCGTTTCTCCCGCCACGTGCACGTATCAACCGATTTTATCGTATTGTATAGAGTCATTTCCGGCAAACAGAACGCTGAGCACATATCTTTACACGGAACATGGACGACATTTTAGAAAAGCCAAATTCAGAATTACGGCCCTCCAACGTTAATTCTCCGGAAGATGCAGGACAGTCGTCCGATGAAGATGACGGCGGCCCGGATTGGACAAAAGTGTCGGGTCTCGCCTCTTTAAGCTCGAGCAAGCCATCTATCCCCAAACGCGGCGATAAAGAGTTCGAGCCTGCTGGTGGTGTGGATGGAGGTGGAACTGGTACAAGTCTACAGCAGCATAAACTCGACCGTGTACGCGCAGCGATGTTCAGCGCGCTCGATGTAGAACGGACTATATCTAGGTGCATTCATGCATTAATACTTCTCGTCAAGTCATCTTATATATCTTTCTAGTAAGACAGTCAGCTACTCAGAGTGGTGTCGCAATATCTCTCGTGCGCGTATTCTCAGTGGACGAGGAAACTACCTCAACACCTTGGGACACAATGTACCGCGCGAGTATCGATCTGGTTTCGATGACCAAAGTTCACAGAACCGGAAAAAGGAGAAGGAGGTGGTGCTACTACCGGAGGAGGCTTTGTACCTCATCGAGCGAGGTAGCATGTTCTGCTGGTCTCAGATTGACGACACTATAGAGGATGAGGGCACCCCCATGAGTCTCCAGCAGGCGTACGCAGAAATGATCGGAAAGGAGGATTTGACATTGGAGCGCTATCAAGTATGCCAATTCTCTACTCTCTCAATCCATACGAAATATAATAATATGTGACACCGTGCTTATGTATAGGTATATGCGTACCTGAAACGTCTTGGATATACGGTCATTCGCGCACAAGCACCGAGTCGCTTTTATGTTACTGCTCCACCGTTTTCACCTCGATCCATACCTCTAAAACGGTCTGGGAAATGGTCTCGTGTCTTGGATATCTTCCTATTACCATTCAAGAAAATGTTTAGTCTTTTTGCATCTAAGTTTGACTGGTGGAGACCGCTGAGGACTGATCGTTGTTTCCACCGTTTCTTATCCTTCTGTGCGTATACATGCTCTAACAAGTATTATATAAATTGACTGATCCGCGAATTTAGCATCTGTTTTCTCGTCATTACGATTCCTCAAATCCGGATATTCACATCCGCTTCCGCCTTTAAAAAACGCGAATTCACCATACGAGGTCTTTTTTCATGTGTACAAACCCGCAACGCCATATCGCAAGACGGCACCCCCTCCACCTGACTATTCTGTCATTGTGGTCAAGTAAGAGGTTTTTGCAATCAGATTGATGAGCCATGGGCTGATAGTCTATGCTTAGTGGACGAGAGACACCAATGCCTTCACTTCATGAGCTATGTTCTCTTTTCGAACAACTGCCTGAGCTTCCACCACCAGTTCCTCGGAAGAAGTTCAATGCGACCCAGCAGAATAGTTCATCTTCGAAAAATGGTGAAAGACCCCAAGGTCAGACTGCGGTACAAGCGTCGCATCCACGCTCGTTATTCAAACAAATAAGGAACTTCTTACAACGCCTTTTCCCATTCTTTACTGTGGTTGGAGGAACTAAATCATTGCCAGTTCCTGTTCGTAATCCAAACCCATTCCAAACGTTGAGGATGGGGAAAAAGATGATCGTAGTTGCATCTGTTGATTCGGGCATGATTAGTTTCTTCCGCTTCTGTCAGGGCTCGTTCGATGAATGGCCTATGATTTAACTGCCTATTTCTTTGACACAATACCGCGTAACCGACTTCGCAATCACTTTCGTTCCTTTGGTGAATGATGGCACATGGTGTTATCACACGACGCCGTTCGTACGTTCAGAAGTACAACAGAGGTTAAGAACGAATGAACCAAAAGACCTAATCATGCTTTTCCGCACTGATCTACTGGGTGAAACTCTGGAATTCCCAATCTTTGACTATCTTTTCAGCCTGCACCGATGCATTCAATATTTTATCACCTCTCACTTCCGCAACCTCATACTCGTCTTCGTTGAATACCTGGGACTGTATCAGTATCCAGAGAAGATATGCGAAGAAAATACAGGTTTACTAAATTGGCTACCCAGCTTCTATCTCCTTTGGAGAAGTTCGGTGGATAGAATGGTACCTTCTGCCCAGTCCGTACGTCCCTATAGACTATGACATTTCCCCGTTGTGCAGTATAGCTGACTATCTTGCCACTTCTCAATTCTGCTTGTGAAAATCCGGTTGTATTCGGTTTGTGTAGCAGCTTACGTGCTTTCCTATTCCCTTCGTTCAAGTAATCGGATACCCCTAGTGACGGGTATTGGTTCTTGAGTCTGTACAACCCTCTGTTATGAGTTTGTGCATCTGAACCTTCGTCATATGTCCTCTCAGCGCTCGACCCAAGTGAAGTCCGGCGTCCATAGCTTGCCGCTACTCGGTCTCGCGGATCTGGAAATCATAGTCAAAAGTTCCCCATCGAAGATGCCCAAATTACTGACCTGATTTTGAATGGGACTTTGACTTGGACCTTGAATTGGACTTATATGTCTCATCTGTCTCATAGATACCTAAGTATTCGCTACTGTTTTTAACTGCGATAGCTCGAGAGTAGAAAAGAGCCTACGGGGTCGTGTCGGTTGAGGTTCAGGTGGGGGACCCGTCCGGACTGAATATACTTGGTGGGTAACTGGAGCAGCTCTGTGTTCATTGTAATAATGTATTGGCAGCGGAATCTGTGCAACACGCTTTCTTGGATCCCCCGACATCCTTTCAATAACGCGTAAAGTGAAGTAGTCGACTGAGAAAGATGAGGGATATGGCCCTGCATTCATCGCTCTCTCAAGTTTGCTTGCTCTATGCAATTTGCTAAGTGCGTAGTCAGATCTCTGGTTTACACACATCGCCCCTTAGTTACACATCATTTGGTCCGTAATCCCGCTTGAACATCACTGAACCTTCTCCCAGAATACGCATAAGACAACGGTGATGAGGATTAGCACGTGGAGAAACGCATCACGAGCTACACGTCCAAAGAAGCGCGAATTAGGACTTACGTATAGCCGCGCTAATGACTGCTCACAGAAGGTCTCTACCCATGGTAAGAGGGCGAGCAAAGCCTTTGACTTCGAAGCAAACTTATGTAGATGACGTCACTGTTACTAGGAAGCCTGGCTCTGATCTGATCGTTGTTAATATCTCGTTCTCGCAAAGTTATCCCTCTTCTAAACGGTCATCTTCAGAAGACACCTTGGACTCCTCTATGCTCATCTTGACAAGCTACACACTCTTTTTAAATAGCTTCTCGGGACTCTATCACTAATTCCTATGCAGAAACTTAGAAGGATTAGTTAGCAGACTCATTCCTAGAAAAAAGTGGAAGACTTGTAAGTAATGCTAGAAAATAAATGTTGCTTTCACTGTCGTTATTCGAACACTTATGGAGACACTTTCAGAGCCTGTTGCTACTCTTGGGTGCAATCGGCGATACTAATTCACTGGCGATCCGCATTAATTATCCGAACTAATTCCAAACGTCGAGGACGGTGAAAGGGATAGTCGTAGATGCAGGCAGGATTGGCTTGTTTCGCTTTTGTCAGGACTCCTACTATGGACTATGATCTAAGTGGTCGTTTCTTTGATATCATACTACTCAACAGTCATTCACACTGTGCAGCAGTCTTTACCTTTTAAATCACGGTTGGATATGCGGATGGCAAAGTTCAATTATTGAGCATTACTAACGACAACGTGCTGAAGCATATCCCAAAACCTGGAATCTTCCTTCAACGAACTGCCTTCACCTTTCAAGGCTCTTCTCAGGTTCGAGTCCAAGCTCCATTCTACGCTCTCTCTCTCTTTTCTTTTCTTTTTTCCCTCCTTTAATGTGCTACTGCATGCGCTGTTATCACACCACACGACATGGTTGGGCATTCACAGGACTTACTATATTACCGCACTAATCTATCTAGCAAGACTCTTGAATTCCCCGTCCTTGACTACCTCGACTCTCTCTCCAGGCTCCTCTAACCCATTCATTCTATCCCTCCACACCTCCGCGACCTCATACTCATCTTCATTAAATACCTTGAACTATGTCAGCATCTCAAGAAGATACGTGCAGAAAACGCGAAATTACTAAATTAGCTACCCAATCTCCGCCTGGCGGATAAAACATTGTCTTCGCCTTAGTCTGTACATTCTTATAGACTAAAACATAACCTGGCCGTGCAGTATAACTAACTAACTTGCCGCTCCTCAGTTCTGCTGGAGAAAAACCTTTTGCATTTGGTTTGTGCAGTAGCCTGCGTGCTTTTTTTATATTTTCGTTCCGGTAATCAGTTACTCCCAGTGAATCGGATCGCCCTTTGAAATCGTAATACTGTTGAGTTTGTACGTCTGTCCCTTCATTATATGTTTTGGCAGTCGATACAGGTGGTTTTGGGTGCATATAGCTTGCCGTAACTCGGTTTCGCGGATCTGAGAATCGTCCACGGAAGATTTCGATCAAAAATGCCAAAACTACTTACCTGACCTTGAATGGGACTTATGTGTCCCATGTGTCTCATACGTATCATAGGAACTACCTAAGAATTCACCAAGACGTTTAACTGTAATGGCTCGAAAGCAAGGAGGAACCTACGGGGTCCTGTCGATTGCCTCTCAAGAGAGGGAACAGTCTGAACCGTATATGATTGGCGATACGGACTACTTCTGTCTCCGTTGTAATTTCGGTTTTCATACTGCCTCCAACTTCCTTTCGGTAGACCAGTGTATGCATCACGCGTGGGGTCCCGCGACATCCTTTCTACCGTGTGTTTGAGTGCAGTAATTGACTAAACAAGGCGGAAGACGCTGCCTTGCTTTCATACCCGCAAGTTTGCTACCCTCAGGCAATTTGCCTGACACCTAGTCAGACCCCTCATTTGCGTTTATTGCTCCTGGCTAACACATCATTTGGCTGATAAGCATACTTGAGTATGACAGGGCTTCCTGCTGCTCTGTATATCCATAAGTAAACAGAAGTGAAGACGAGTCCAGAGAAAGCAGTGATCAAGACATACGGAAAACCGGACCTGCATCATACGCCAAAGGCTCTTACTTGTGGTAAGTGGAGAAGCCAAGCTTCTAACTTTAAAGCAAACTTGAGGGCATGACGTCACTGTTGCTGGAAAGTTTGAATCCAATCTGTTTGTGTTTGTAAATATGCAAAGTTGGCTTTATATGCGTACATTCTACTACATTGCAATCGGTCAACTTCAGAAGGAAATCTCGATTCTTTTGTGCTCATTTTAGGAAGCCTTCCTACTACCCTGCAGATTCTGTCTTTATGACATATAACAGTGGAATCGATAAGAATATTTTCACCAACAAATGAACGGACTCGTGTCAGCATGTCTGATTTGCGTTTCAAGCTACTCAACTGTATAGGCGATAACAGAACTGGTTTTGTTATTATTAGTTTCATAATCTTTATCTGCTATTTACTATGTAGAAACGAATGTTTGTAACTTGTGTCCATTACTTATCCACATGTGTAATTATCCCTTTTTGTGTGTAACTTGTAGTAATTTGTGGCGTCGATCTGTACCTTGTTTGTTATCTTATCAAGTTGTCCGAAATCCCGGATAGCGTCATCCGTCGCTTCATTGATGTTTATACCATAATTATAGCACACGCTAGCCATTGGTTCGCAGACACTTCTTGTCTCTCACCATCACCACGCTCGTATCTTGTCGACACAGGTTACTGCAATGCCTTTTGGGAAGATAAAGCTGAATGATGGAAATGAGGTGAGTGGCATAACATGGCTAACATTGAATGTGGCGTTTTGGGTTCTTACAAAGCGTCTAATTATTGTTGCAGATTCCAAGCATTGCATTTGGCACGGGTTCGTCAATGAAGGGCAAGGTGAGATTGCCCGACATAAGTCGCACTCTTGCTCATATATTTCACAATGTTGAAGGATGTGACGGAATATGTAGAGCAGGCAATTGAGAAAGGCTTCTCACACATTGACACAGCCCAATGTGTGTATACTAGTTAATTTGATTTCCTTATCAACAAAACAATGAATATTCTAAACTCAGATTACCAAACCGAGCCGTACGTTGGGAAAGCCATTCGTGAAGAGGGTCTTCGACGAGACGAACTCTTTATCACGACAAAGTTCGGATTCGGGAAAGTCAGCGAGGTATTTCAGAACAGCCTCAAACAAGTACGTTCTTTACTTGATAAGCCGCGCTTATAAATTCAATAATTGAAATAAACAGCTCAGTCTCAAGCAAGTAGATTTATACTTGATCCACTCTCCAAGTGCCATCGAAGGTACAATAGAGAATACTTGGCGCGAATTCGAGAAAATCAAAGATGCCGGACTAGCAAAGTGAATTCACACATTTTATAAAGTTTTACATTCTCTCACTTAGACTCACTGGACAAAAAATTCAGGAGTATCGGGGTTAGCAACTTTTCCGTGCAACAGCTAAAGGATCTTCAGAAAGTGGCAAAAATCCAACCTGCCGTCAATCAGGTTTGCAAGTTCAAGCTCATCCAGGGAATATTTCTTTCATCGAGAACTGCTCTGTCGCATTATAGATTCGCTTCCACCCATACAACTGGGAAGAAAATAAAGAACTGGTGGAATACGCAGCGCAGCAAGGAATCGTCATTGAAGCATATAGTTCTCTCACGTATACTGCCATTCAATTCTTTGGCGGCGAAGTCTTGCTAACCTAAATCACTCTTTGCCGTCTTACAACAGGCCCATCACTCAACAGCCTGGTGGACCAGTGGATCCTGTCCTCAAGACAATCGGTAAGCGACTTGGTGCCACTCCAGCGCAGGTCATTTTTGCATGGGTGAAGAGTAAAGGGGCTGTCATTGTCACGTAAGTGCATTTCTCCAGTAAGTCAGTCAAAGCCAGTTCATTATTGTTCATCTTGACAGCACGACGAGCAAGAAGGAACGCCTCGATGAATATCTTGCTGTGGGTGACCTGCGTAAGCACTGCTTATTCATTTTTTGGCTTTGCACAGCAACTAACGTCGACCTGCTGAATCCTATAGCCGAGCTCTCAGAAGCAGAGATTGCTGCCATTGAAGAGGCAGGCGCACAGGGTGGACAGAGAGTATCGATGAACAGGCGGCGATTTCTAGCAGTGGTTGCTGGAGGTGCATTTTTCTATGGCGTACGTTGGTTGTTGAGAGCTTGAAATCGAGATGTATCTTGGCGTAGTTTTGCCATTGTTCTTTCAGAAAATGCGTTACTAGACCTTGTAGACTGATAGTAATTTCTTGGATAGCCCAGACACTTTGAATGAGATGCTGCATTGAATACATTTTTGCATTGAAAGCAAAACGCAGTCTGCTTTTGAGCGCATGATGGAAACATACCCATACAATAGCATGCGACAGCCATAAAACATGTTAAGAGTCAAAGGGAAAGAGGGAAAGTGAGACCAACGACACCGTACATCTATTCATTCCTCTTCCTCCTCACCCTCACCTTCGCCCTCACCCTCTTCTTCATCATCTTCCTCCTCTTCCTCTTCGCGCTGCTGCTCTGCGACCGCAGTAGCGATTCGGTCAAGATCACGCTGGCCATCTTGGGAGATTGAGCGGCCGCCGTTGTCATTTTGCTCGAGCACACCGATTTTCTCGAGTGATTGACAGATTTTACGTTGCACATTCGTGCTCGCGTTGGCGTGGTGTGAAGGTCGGTTCCCGCGCCTGTTGCGACCACCGTGTAGTTTTGCGAGTTGGCCTATGCCGACGTGTTTGCGGAGGTAGATGTGACGTGCAACGGCGGCTGCAGTTGGTTTACACCACCAACGATGAGCTATGTTACGCAGAGCAGAAGAAGTGCAGAGGACGTACCAGCCCGAACGTAGAACCAATCTTGATCATACGGTGCAAGCTCCTTGTAGTGACCCGTCTTTACGATATCAACCCATGTTGGGACCTCAAGCTTGCCAGATCGCTTGAGGTGGGCAGCATATGCTGCGATGAAAGAGTCCGCGCTGTTGGTTGTCGTTCGTAGGTTGTTCCAGTACGATCACAATCCGATGTTGTGAGGACAAGTATGAATACAGATGAGGCGAGATCCAACCCGAGAACAACGACACCAGACCAGAAGTACCACAGATGCAACGCACACCGTCATCAGTTCGCCTCTCGATTATCTACAGGAATACAAAACACGCACCTAACGTCCCGTACACCAGGCATCGTAGGCTTATTTTAAACTGACCACTAGATAGCTCTTCCTCGAATGAGTGGAAAGCAGACGTTATGCGCGCTGCGTGAGCCTCGAAGGTGTTTTGCTAGCAGACTCCTCGACTTCCAAACCTCTGTCCGACTTGCGTGTTGGACAGGAAAGGAAGGAATGACTAACAAGATGTACTGTACAGTTAATGACATAACTGCATTATTATGTAATGAATAGGTATTCTCACGCCGACTTTAATCACGATGTCTCCCTCCATACCCGTTGTTAACGACGCCTCAAATTCTAAAGCTTCGTGCCTAGTTACCGAACCCCTTAAATTCCTTGGGAGCATGCCACGTCCGCCATGTGCTTATCGTTGAGCTAAAATCATTTTCATGCTATGATCACCAACCCTTGCTTGTCGTGTGTAGATGCTAGTCTTGCGGTCTCAAATTGTTTTTGCACATTTCTGTCTTGTCATGCAAGATTCATATTATAGAGGCATGAAAATAAGTATCATATCGTATCGACGACAAGATATCTCGACTATACAGGGGGCCAGGGAGACAATAACAGCAACAATACGAAGTTTTAAGTACAGATCCAACACACGTAAAAACTCTCCAATAGATAGAACGAAAAGTTAGATGAATGATATGAGATACACAAGCGATTCGAAGCCCGATGGAATGACACAAATGCTTCTTCTCGTCCTCTTTTCTGCTGAGGATTGTCATCGGAACAACACAAGCAAGAAACAGATCGGGTGGTAAAACAGGTATGAGAGACGTCCGGTAGTAGATCAAATGGAGATGCGACAAGTGGAGCGTTCAATCAACCTGCCTGTCAATGGTGATCTTGACACCATAGTTGCCAGCGCCGTGGTCGCTGCGCGTGTCAACAATGTTGACATTGTCGTCGCTGGGAACAAGTCCAGCTTCCTTGCCCTCGTTGACGCTGCTCTTCCCGTCAGCGTCCCAGTCGTGGCGGCTCTTGTCAGCGGGCATCTCGCCAATCGTGTAGGTCTGACCGACACCAGTGCCAACGCCACCAATCGTGCTGTTGATGTTAAGCACACCAGGTGCACCTGCACCGCGAGTGCTAATGACATGCGTCGTTCCAACGCCGCGCGAGCCTCCTGAGCTTGCAGCAGCCGCCGAAGAGCCGGAGAACGAGCCGCCAGACTTGAGCGAACCGCGGACAGAGAGGATGATACGAAGAGTCATGGTTGTCGTAAGAACAGCAGCCATAGAAGTCACGATAGTCTTGATGGTGTCGCTGCCGTCGTTCGGCTTAGCGATGAACCAAAAGAGCATGTTGGTCATGTTGACAATCCAGATCGCACCGTAGAGGTTGAGACCATCACGGAGCATCAGCTTCCAGTAGGACAGAGGTTTCGCCTCGAGAGTTGCAAGCGAGCGTTTGATCGCAAGCAAGAACTGCACATCCATCAATTAATCGATTATGTCTAAATTGATAAGGGAAAGTGACCTACAGAGGCGGTGAACAAAAGCGTCGGAGCTAACCAGTAGATTCCGACCCAGTTGCTCTTAGGTCCTGCAATGCAGCCCTGGCCCTCCAGCAAGGGAACGGCTAAAACGGACGATTTTTTTTTTCAATTACGAACAGATCGCCACAAATGAAACAGTCCGCTTACATCGGTAGAATCCGCAGGTGATAGCCATGCAGACAACCTGGAGAGCGAAGAGCGCGGTCATGCCCATGAGGACAGTGCGGTTCTTGTCGTAGATGGCGTGGATGCGGATGACATGGATGATAGAGCAGGCCGAGACGAGAATAGCAGTGCAGATAGGCTCGAAGAGGAAGAAGTGGGAGCATTGCTATAGATGGAACAAGAAGTAATGAGCCCAGAACTCAGCCATCAAAATCACCCGTCGTTGACGGATGGTTGACAGCGACGCACCGACTGTGTGAAATGTGTATCAAAGAACGCAACCGCTGTCGCAACGCAAATGATAGTTAGCACACACCACGCAGGACGCCATTTCGGGTGGAAAGATGACAACTCACCCACTATAATGAACTCCGCAGGCATGAAGAGACGCAAGAAGTGAAAAATGATCTTAAGGACTGGCCATTCTTTGGTCTTCATGAGACGCCATGAGCGCGGAGATAGGACAAGAGTGTCCCATGCTGCGACGGTGAGCGTGCAGACGAAGAAATACTTGTGCGCGCTCAAGTGCGGCGGAAGGTTGAGGGATGGTGGGAGGAGGTCAGTGATATCTGGTGCGGACATGTCGGTCTTCTTCTGGCTTCTACTTTCGTCCTAAGTATGCTCTGAATCAACGACACCAACCAGTGAGAAGGACGCGACGAATGCTGGACGGTGGCTAAGAGAGCGACTACAGGGAGGCAGTCGGTGGTCGTTGAGGAAGGGGAAGAAGTTGTGGGAGTAGTGTTATAAGGAGAGCGGGCTGATGGGGAAAGCAGTGAGAAGATAGCTTTCATCGTCGCCTGAAACAGTTCCTATCCCTTTTATGGCATCTTTTCCTGATCGCCGGCTTCTCTTTCTTATTCCTTCAGAAAAACTTACTTCCCCCTTTTCAATTCACTTTCAGCTTATATGGGGATACTTGCGCCATCACGGTCCTGCTGGATATCACTCTACACTAGTCTGCATCATGCCTAATATTGCTCTGAGCATTTCTTTCGTGCATGGGTCATGTGGGCGAATATACTAACAGTATGAGTTTCCTAATCTGGGGTGGCACAGCCAGCGTCTCTTCTACTGAGCGACACCATCTCATCTCCACCGTTCCCTCGCATCCCGTCGCACTCATCATCTTCCGACCATAATGTCTCCAGTGCGTGTCTCTTCCTGCAAGACGACCATCTCTTCTCAACAAATGCCTTGAAGGGAACTGCCCGCCAAGCCCATGCAACACACCTGAAAAATCAGAGCGTAATCAAGTGACCGAGGCCCGAAAGGGACTGAACCCAACCCAAGCTATCTTTATCCTAGCTTGTCAGATCAATCATCATGATGCGAGAACAAGCTTCACTCCCTTTCTTAATCCGCATTACTCCATATCTGCACTAAATCTGCTTCTGCTCTCCATGATCATCAGCACTGCTAATTTGTTCATCCCAGCGACGTAACTCAACTCGACCCCGTCCCTATCGCAAGTTAAGTAGCACCTCTCGTATAAACGGGGACGAGAGACGAAGGCTTGTCTTCTCCATCCTCGTCCTGTAGACACAAGAGAACGCTGGTCGAGAGCGATTATGTGGATCACATCAAAATAGAGGAACGGAAGAAATCGAATATTCGAAATAAAAATCACCAGCAATTGACATCAAGATCTGAAATCCGGCGCGTGGCTATACAGAGAGCTACATCCGCATCATCCAAAACTCTCCCGGTTCCCTGATACAGGACCTGATCTCGGACACAACACGGCAGCGTTTCTTTTTCTTTTGGGTTACCTGCTTTACATTATAAGCGCCGAGTGCACGCAACTGAGAGTCAATGCCATATCGACTAAATTGCTCCATGATTGTGTCATCCTATTCAACCAAAACGGAAGCGTTTCTTGTCTCGACAACTGTCCCAACGTAACTTCGTGATGGATGAGAGCTCAGTTTCGTATTAAGGGAGGATAAAAGGGCTTTTGACTTGCGACTCCTATCAAGTAAACGTGCTTCCTTGGCAGATTCGGTCTTCAGTCTGCCCTGGACCTGTAACGTGTACTTCCTTATTAACGTTCGCTGGCATGAGCATGTCTTCGAGTAATCTTCCTCTTTGACAAAAGCCTCCAGGCAGCCAAACTAGACTGCTCTCCTCAACTCACCCTCCTCATGACTGGTAAAGAGCTATCGACTCACAAACTCGCTGACCAATGTTCTCACTTCATCAAAACGTGTCAGTCGACTTTGTTTCGTCTTCTTGACAGTAGCCGCGAGACTGATTAGATCAGTTAGGAATATTATACGCTTGATAATGTGGTGTGAGGTGCGTTGACTTATTTGCTATGGCTTGGATCAGATCCGATACGGATTTGTAGAGCGTCTTGTTGGGGCGTTGTTATATCTGATACCATCGACACCACCACCACTAGATTTTTTGTTCGCAATCTCCGGCGTTCGTTTCAGAGCCACCGGGTGCAATATGACTAGTTTTCAGGGATCAGATGTGCTCTGCTGCGCTGTTCTCCGTCAGTTTCAAGGCAGTACGTGAGTAACAATAATGCGACGATGGAATGATGATTAATAACAGCACACCTTGTTCTTTGTCTGTTTGTTGCTCGATCGATACTTGCATTCCAATCTGTATAAAATCAAATTCACTGACGGATAAATGGTGCTTCCAACTCATGTCCATGGAGGAGACAAGATGTGGTCCTTTGTCTCACACATCGCGCTTCTCTTGCTGCTCTGCTGTTGGCTGGGGCCCACATAAGCTCGCTGTCAAATATAAACCAAGACCTCCATAACATGATCGACACAAATTGGATGCTTCAATGCAAGCCACCTTCAGCTCCTGTCCTACCGAGTATTCACTGTTCTACTTCTGTTGATATATGCCAGTGAGGAGGTCTCAAGCTGTGTACCTGGTATGTGGCAATCAGGCTGTGAGACATGGTACTTTGAAACAACTCCTGCTGAAGCCTGAATGCCTGTTTGCTTCAGTATAACTGCTAGGCTAGGAATAAGCACATAGATTAATGCACTAGCATAGGGGATGCTGGACTGACAAGCTGGTAGTTGTGAACTGGCTTTGCTAGTTGGTCAATATCCCTTGTCCTCCAAAATCAGGGGAAAGTTCCACATTCATCAAACTTTGCTTAACTTGAAACAGTTATTGTATACAATCTGTTCTGACAATAGAATGCATTACATCATACTTTCCTTGCTACTAGTACTTTGCTTCCACTTTGCACACCAATTGTAGCATGTTGAGTGCCCCTTCATCCTTCTATAGTAACCTATTGCACTCTTTTTTTAAATTTGAGCAGGATGTATACACACACAGAGTGTGACACGTTTGCCAATTACTAACTTAAGAAAATAACAATGAGTTTACTACAAAGTTGTATTTAAATTATTCCTGTTTTTGATTTTCTTTGTATGTATAGTAATATATATTGACATTCAAATAACCACTGTTATTGTAATGTGTTCCTCTTTAAGCAGTATAGTAAAGAATTCTATGGCTCCATACTTAAAGCTACTACTAGGTCATTTGCAAATATAGATAGAGCAAAACTGCCTTCTGTCTCATATAAAAGGTCTGCACACTCAACACTTACTATACAAAGTTCAATCTTCATCCTACATTCTGCATCTTGTCACATTTACTATTAGTATAAAATTCAGAGATGAGATTAAAGCCTATTAAACCTCCTACAGTTAGTTCTGTGTCTCAAACAAAGAATGCTGAAGAACTATTCACATTTTGTGAGTAAACCATATAATATAGATAGTAACATATGATTTATACCTTGAATGTAGATTTGTTCACACTCCCAGAAGGCCATAAGTATTGTGGCTACACACTATTTTGGGATCCAAGAGAAATACAGTATGTCTGTAAGCACCTTCTTACTATTCTCTTTCTACTATAGTATAAAATGATTCTCTACAGTTTGTAACTGTTAGGAATTGTAAAATACAGTAACTAAGTTTGGAAAAGCTTAACTCAAGACTTAGGACTGAGTAGTTTATATACAAAACCCTATTAGTCACAAGTCTAGAGATTGGCCAGATCAACTAGGCTACCTTTGTTGTCCTGCTTAGTAAGAACTCCAGCTCAGCATTATTAACCTTTAATCATTACTAATGAGTGATCAATCCATCAGTAGAGAGAGGGGACAGGAAGGAGTAGGTACTAAGTCAGTTAGGAAAAGGTAACAAAACCTGAGAACAAGGTCTTTATCTCTCTAAGGTTAAACACATACTCTAGCACAGTATTACTTGATAACCTTAACTAAAGACAAGTCATTTAGAATGCTTGTATGGAGAGAGGATCTAGAAAGAGTATAGTGTCCAGAGTAAGAAGTATAAAGGAAAAGACTAGGAGAAAACCTGAAGAGATAAAAGGAAAATATTATACTTACTTACTATATAGCTAGTTAGGAACACTTTGTACAAAGACAAAGGACTATTAAAGCTAGGAAAGAGTCAGAGCTAATACTCTGTAGCTCTATACTTGAGGAGGACTAGTACTAGTGAAGG